ATATTCCACCTGTCAAAGTTCGCCTACGGCTAGGATTTGTCCGAAAATGGGGTACCCCTTGAATCCATGAAATCCAATGGTTTATCATCATTTTTCTACATCAAGACTGTTGTTTTGGGGAATGTCTCAGTGGGCAACACCACTTGACCACTGTTCAACACTCTTTCTTGCACCTGAAGACACGGTAATCTCGACACCCCCAAGTTTCAGCAGCACGAAATCAGATCGCAGATCGCAACTTGGACTTCTTGACTCCCTTTTAAAAAAAACACACACACAAATGGCTATGGGTCAATACCTATTAATACCATTTTTAGTGGGATGAACATCCATTTACAAGCTATTTTGATGTTCACCAGGGGTACAAGGTTTTGACACTGCCAAATAGCATAAAGTTAAAGTTACGTGCGTGGCCGCCTCTCTCTTCCCTTAACCGTTTCAAGTGTATCATTCTGCCGGTGACCGGTATCCCACCCATGGTTGTGGAAGATCGCCTTGTATTATTGATCATAGAACCTCAGACAAAGATGGGCCATTGTGTCACGGGTCGAGTTTTTGTTCAGAATCACGAACCAAATTAAAATTCATGGTTGGCTGTGCTAAATTGGAAATATGTGCGCACCTACCAATGGATGTCCAAACTGATGGCTTCACATCTTCACGCGCCAGGGCTCCGCGGGCGCAGACATCTTCAGGCATCAACAGTGAGACGAACCAGGCGCCCGGGACATTTTTAAATTCCCTTCTGTAAACGGAAAATGACAAAGAGTATGTAGGTGTTACCCTCTGGTAAACTGGTAAACTAACATAACTATGGAAAATCACCATTTTTAATTGGCAAATCAACTTGTGAGTATGGACTACTGGTTGGTGGTTTATCAATCCCTCTGAAAAATATGAAAGTCAATTGGGATGATGAAATTCCCAATATATGGAAAAATAATCCAAATGTTCCAAACCACCAACCAGCAAAGAGTATGTAGGTGTTAAGAACTGTTAAGCCCAGAACCACCATCAGCGTTGGGTGTTGCTTGTCCTGCCCAAAAAAATCCAACTTCTTACTTCGGAAGTGGGCCGATTTCCACGGGACGCCTTTAAGGGTATGAAGTCTGGTGCGAACAGGCAAACATGTTTTGATTTCAGGCACATTTTTGCAAAGGGACTTCTATATAGTGAAACTGCTCTACACCATCTGGGTGGATTCTGAAACTCTTCGTCAGAAAGTGCTTGCTTTCATTCTCATTGAAATTCATTAATTGATGGTTTCATATGAATTCATATTAATGGTTCTCCATATTAATGTGAATGACATATGAATGGTCTATGTTTTGTGTCTGAAAATGAGGATTCTCCGACTGCCAGATGGACTACCCCTTGGTGGATTCCCGTCGCTGGCCTGGCATTGCGATCTACAGTCAGGCGGACGGCCAGAAATTCACCATGTTTTAACATCTAAAAACCCCCTGGAGAAATCACTGGATTGGTTGGAACATTGACACCCCTAAAACCTGAAAAAGTCTATACATAACTGCTGGTGCAATAAATAACCATCTTGAAAAATGATGGAGTTAAAGTCAATGGGAAGGATGACATCCCATATATGAAATGGAAAATAAAATTCATGTTTGAAACCACCAACCAGATTATATATATATAGTATATATATATACAGTATATACTATTTCACAGTGAAAACTCACCACGGTTTCCGGTTAAAATGTTCCACACGCAAAACCGTCATGGATCATCGTGGGGCACAGTTCATGGATGATCAGATGAGCATCCCTGATATGATAACATCATATCGTATGGTATGATATGGCCATTAATGATACGATATGATATATGTAATATAGTAGTGTAGTATCATATAGTGATATGATATGATAATGATATGATAGGATATGATAATGATGTGATAATAACATGATATGATATTATATATGATATATTATATATATAATATCATAATATTCATATATATATAATATCATATAATATAGTGTAGTATAATGTGATATTGTATCGTACACTATAATACTATACTAGATCAAGGATAGAGGTTAAGAACCCCCTAGAATTATCAACAGCATCTTTTCGGTTGGAAACGAAGAAGTTCTTGTAGAAACTTCGTCGACTTCGTTGTAAGCACCTAGCCGAAGCACGTTGGTTTACACACCCCATGAACTAGTTCGGTATATCTACCATAGTCATCCATAGGCCATAATTAACCTTACGGTAACTACATTTAAATATACGGATTTTAAGATATACGAACAGGTACTGTATTTTAGACTACCTCCGGGAAGGTTTTCCTTGGCCCGCCCGGCCATTGAAAGATACGGAATCCAATTCATTTAAACATACGGTAACTACATTTAGATATACGAACTGGTATTCTCTACTACCTCCTGGGCCTCGCGGTCTGGCCCGCCCTCCACATATTTAAATGTCGTTACCGTAGTTCTATATATGATATACGTATATACACCAACTAACCATACGTAGATATACTATGATATATCTTCCATAAACCATAGCCCATAGGATCCATGGTGCTGGTAGAAAAAAAATGCTAACATAAATTGGGTATATTGATGTGGATCCATGGCACACCATATATAGCAGCACCGTTAGGATCCGTCATGGGTAGTTAACCTGGTTGAAAAGCACCGGTCAGTGAAGTCACCGCGAAAGGGCGACGCAGCTGCCGGAGCAGGGTGGTTGACCTACCCCTCTGAAAAATATGAAAGTCAGTTGGGATTATTCTTCCCAATATATATATATATACATATATATATATATATGGAAAAATAATCTAAATGTTCCAAACCGCCAATCAGTATATCATTGGCTCTTCTTAATTAAGTTAAGTGTGTTGCTATTTTTTGGATGGTTCATGGTCCTCCTTTTTCAAATATGTTCGAATGGGATACCCCTGTATTGCACCCCTTTTTCACCCCAAAACCAAAACCACATTGAAATTGCAACAGAGTGTATGATGTTCTCCCGAATAAGCTATGAAAGACCCAAACATTGCTATTTCCCCAAACCAAACCCACTTGGATTTGCATAAGCAACCCAACCCCCCCAAAAAAAAACAGCAATATTCCCTACAGATTCCCCTAATTTCTAGTGGATGTCCCATTGGGATAATACTTAAGAAAATCATCGACTCAAGCAAATCCGAGACGTGGATTTTCCCAGCGATAAACCTCCGTTGATAGTGGATGTTCCTATCTTCCCATGAAAATTCATGAAAATCTGTCTGATTTCATCCCTGTTTTGCTGGGCTGTCCGCTTTTCCTTGCCGAATTCACGTCTGGTGCAGAGCCTGCGACGTTGGCAACGGCGAGAGAGCTGGTCAGAGACACGAACGGAGGCTTTTCCCTCTGTTTATGTTTGACATACCCTCTGGTAAACTAACATAGCTATTGAAAATGACCATTTATAGTGGATTTTCCCATGAAAAATGGTGATTTTCAATAGCTATGTTAAATTACCAGAGGGTACTGTGGATGGAAGAAATCTTGCACCAGCTGATAGATGGTTTATCCCATGATTTATGGGGTTTCAACCATCCAAGGTGAAGGACTTCGCTGGCCCATCCACAGTAGCTATGGAATGCGATGAAAATGGCACGTTTACAGATGATCTACCTATGAAACATGGTGATTCTCCATAGCTTTGTGAAAAATTACCCTCTGGTAAATGAACATAGACCCTGAAATCACCCATGTTGAGTGGTTTCACTCATCTTCCAACCCCTATCTACCAGGGTCTAGCATTGCTAAAAAAGAGATTAGCATGTTAAAAATGAGTTGAGGGAACCATGTTAATTTCCTATTTCCTCTAGAATCACCCATGTTAATTGACTGGAGGGTACCAGAGGCTAGCATTGCGAAAAAAGACTTGTGAAAAGTTCCGCGGATTTTGATCACCAGCCTGGTGAAGTTTGAAGCAGCAACGATGTGGGGCAACCACCGGTTGCCAAAAACGCTGTCGATCAACAGGAATATTCATTGCCAATCTTAGATACCCTGCAAAAAATAAATTCTTTACTGGTTAGTAGATATTCCCATTACCAAAAGACTAGTTAGGATTAAAGTATCCATGTAAGATTGACCTAGTATTTAGGAGATTCAAGCAATTCAAAATGATGATGCTGGCCATGATTTCGGATATTGTTGATGCTTGTATGAGTTCATAGCCATACCTATATGACATATACTTTCTGAGAGTCCCTGTCATCAAATGCACAGCCTCACCAGCTGAATTATATACAATTGATTCACCAAACTGTCATGCGGTTGGGACACTCTTGGTAGCTCCTTGGCTCCCCATTTTAGGGAATATGGAGACCCCTAGCTCCGAGCATGGCATATCATGGGTTTAAGGCATATCATGGGTTAAAAAAAAAAAAAACATATCTTCCCACCATATCAACACGCTTCATGGTTAGATCCTCATGTGTTGTGGAAGCTGTGAGGCCTGCAACCTACTTGGATCTGCAGGTGGCAAGAACCATATCATGGTACCAAGGCGGTATCTGGGTTTGTCTCGATGGAACAAGCCAAAACATATCATAAATTCTCCAAAATTTCATAGTCATCTCCTTTTTTATCAAAAAACATCACCTCCGTTTCTTCATTCTCCCCCATTTGGAGAATAAAAACATATTAGGGTTTCTCTGAAAACAGGGTATACCACATCAATCCATTGAAGTTCATCATGATTTTCTCTAAATGAAAACCATAAACGGTTATGGGGTCAAAACCCTGGTACCCAAATAATACCCGTTTAGTCAAAGTTTAGTCATATCTAGTACTAACTAGCTGGATGCTGAGATCCCCAGTTGTATAGTCATAGTAAATTATCAGAATTCACTAACCTCACTAAGTTTGCCTCACGAATAGTTCGGCCATGGCTGGGGATGATTTCCCTCAAATAAACCATGATTCACAACCAAGGTTTTGCGACAAATCGACGATGTCCGGCCTTCAAACTACCTCCAGCACCCTGACTTGGCCATCAGCGCTGCCCACGGCCTTGGGATGCCCATGGGTATCGAACTGCACTTCCAAGTACGATGCTGGAATGACCTATGAAACACCTATGAAAGTGTGTATATTATATATTATATATTATATACATATATATACATATATATATATACATATATACATATATATATACATACATATATATATATACATATATATATATTATGTACATATATGTATGTAAATTGTATCACACATGTACGTAAATCCCTATGAAAATGAACTGATGACAATCACCCAACATGGGCCTACGGTTAAAACAAGCCGACTTTTGACACGCAGCACATATGATACCATTCAGGATTTCAGAACGCAACACATCCCACGGAAAGCCAGGGAGACTGGATTAGATTGGATAATATTGGCCAAATTTTCCATAGTGATAGACAAGTAGATAGATACAACATGTTTGAACAAACAAACTAAGGGCCACTCGCCCTTATGATCTAATGTCAACCCCGGATTTATAAACCCTGACTGTTGATTGCGGGGTGCTCCAAAATATTGACAAATTAATGATACATTGCTATTGAGATTGCTGCCCCTATCAATATGTAAACTGTGGGGTTATGAATGCTCATTGCCCATGGAAAAAATGAAAAAAAATATCTCAAAACATAATCCATATTATTGAGATATATATATACATATTCATATTCTATATATATATTGTGTGCCATGTTCAAAACTTGGATTCTGCACCCATGAAAAAAATGTGGATTTCCATTGTGACTCGATGTGACTGGATGACCAGGAAGCACCATGTTTTGACCGTGGCACATATGTATTACATCTGTGTATGTAGATAGATATAGATAGGATAGGATAGGATAGGATAGATACTGTAGTATGAGTAGGATAGGATAGATAGTAGGATAGGATAGGATTAGATTAGATTACAGTAAATTAGATTAGCCCCAGATACCCATTTGGGGATGTGTCAGAGAAGGGATACCAATTGACCCAGACAATCATTGATTTGTAGACACCTCAAGAAGGGGCCCAAAATCAGGAGCTCCAGTACCAAACTAGGGTTTTGCTTGGGGCTATTTACAGTAACACTATTGTGTTAACACTTGTTAGTCCGGTTGGGGAATATTTAGAACTGGGACGATTAGATAGATATCCGCCCAAACTGCGCATGCTTCACCCCAGCCATCCCCACATCTTCTAGATGTGCACCCCGTTGCGCTTTGCGTCGAAGCACGGCATACTTTCCTCCAATGGACCAATCCACCGTGAAGACCGGCTTCCTGGGCGACTTCCACAGTGGCGCGTTCGACCATGTTCATTTAAAACGGTGCAGGATTTACCCTCAAAGAATGGGTGAAGAGTGGAGATCTCATGGATTGCTTTGGAAGAATAAATGATATTTCAATGTGGATTGATCATGTCAAGCCCATGTCAAACCCATGTCACAATGTTACGACATCATGTTACAACATCCTCCTTGATTGATGAGGGGGTAACAGCCGGGCACCTCCAAGTTTGACCGCCCCTTTGGTTCATCCAGGGCTGACATTACAAAGCCATGAAAAAATGGGAAGATGTATCCAATACCCTCTGGTAAACTAACATAGATATGGAAGCCATGGCCCATAGAAATAGATGGTTTACCTATTAAAAAAGGTGATTTTCTATAGCTATGTTAAATTACCAGAGGGTAAATGATGAGGGCTGCAGCAAGTTGTTGATATATAACCCATGATAGCCCTGCTGCAACTCCCAATTGGGCCTATTATGGCCTATTGTTCCTGATCGTATCCCTACCAAAGCCTACAACATCCTTCTAAAAATCTTATATCTGGGTAAATTATCATATTTCACTAACCTGAATAGTTCGGCCATTTGGGGATGATTTCCCTTATATTATTTACCCAGTTATATATCATAAGTTGAGTAGGTCAAATCCGTCCAAAATCCCATGAGGCCAAGCCGCGGCATGGACACCAGCGCACCAAACGGCACTGGCGCGGCGCCCGGCTGCCGCATGAAGAACTTCGCCTTCGCAGACGAAAAAAAAGTGGAATTTATAGGAACTTTATGGGGGGTTAGGAATTTTATATAAGGATTGTATAAGGATTTTGTAGGGAATTGATAGTGGGTTATTGTATGGAATTTGCAGGGATTTGATTTCAGGATTTTGTGGTACCAAAGTAGGGAAACCCTGGTCAATCAGAGAAATCCTGGTCACGTTCCGCAAAAGGATTTTTCAGTAAAGTCATGTTCCGACCCAGATGAAGCCTGGACCGTTTCAGGACCCTCTGGTTTTTGGTCGCCAAAAGCTATTGCAAGCGTACATGGTTGCGTGCCAGTGTAGGGATTTTATAGGAACTTGATAGGGTTTCTAAGAGATTTTTTGAGGGTTTTATATGGATTTCACTGATATATGGGACAACCCACTGCCACGAATCAGGGACTTCACTTCCTAATTTAGGGGACGTACTACCTTCGGACTATGCCTAGAACTGCCACTGAACTGGGATCAGCAAAAGGATCCCCTGCGGCATGGGGGGCATTGGAGAATTACCCTCTGGCTGAATCTAACATTACTATGGAAAATCATAGGTAAAATTCATAGGGAAATCATGGAACTAAATGGGTCATGGTTTCCATAGCTATGTTAAATTACCTAGAGGGTAATTCCACAGATTCCTTGTGAAAAAATATGGAGATTGAATGGTAAAACTGTAAAACTGTTTAATAGAAACTCTCTTAACAATAGCGTTCATGCAGTCTTGAGGCAATGTTTTGGGGACATCATCCTTTTTGGGGCTTCAATTTCAGACCAAGAGCGTGTGGTAAAGGGTGGGGCCTCCAAGTTAGGTCAGTTAAGATATAAGTGGCTTAACTACGGTTTATGGTAGATATAACTATGGTTGATGGGGTTTAGTTTACAAACCAACTTATAACTGGGGGTCACCATCCTGTAGGAACCTAGGCCCATTTTCCGGTACCTGGTGGGCCCATTCAAACCGTCGCTTCTTGGGCCGTCCCGGACCTCGTTTTCTTGCGATCCTCCCGCCAAGATCATACTGCTAGCTGGGTCCTGGCGCCCGGTCAGGGACAGCTTGGGATCAAAGTCTTCAAATTTTCACTCAGACTTCCGCGGTTGACAAATGATGAGTGAAAAGAAACTCATACCCTTAGGGGTTTTCAGAAAATGATTGTATTTTCAGAATGATAGGTGAAAATACAAATTTTCTACAAATGTTCAGAAACTCATAGACTCCATACCCTTTTGTAGGGATATCAAATTGCGCTTTCCCCACTGTAAACCAAATCACTTGTGGTCCACCTTGTGGTGTTTTGTGCACCGGACTAGAGTCACCGGCAGCATCACTGCTCCCAGCAGCACTATGAACTGGTGGGCTCACAGTGTCCACATTTTCGGATCTGCTTCCGGGGATCGTCCAACATGAGTGCCCATGAGTGCTATCTTCTCTCTTAAAACCATGTATTTGATGTTCTTCCCGCATGTCTCTTCCTTCCAATAAATCACACCGTTGTTTTGAAGATCAGTTCATCATTTTTGGGGTGGGCCATCAACGGCGTTATAGATTCTCCACAACCCCTGAAATTTAAACATCGGATTTCCCCCAAAATCGTGTTGCAATAGATTGGTCTAAGGGAAAATCTTAATCGGAAACCATACATTTCCCCTTAAATATAGGGGTTTCCTGTAAATTTCCTCTTAAAAGCCTCAAACCATCCCAGTGAGTGACAGGTCTGAGCCGCCCAAAATATAATAAAATCATGGTTTTTTGGCTCCATGGCTATCCCTGATTTCTCCTTGCTGAATTGCGCAGCGAAGAGCATGCAGGGGCTCCTTAGGGCGGGAAGAGATACAATCCAGGTTCAACTGTGACTGGTTAGTGGTTGACCTACCCCTCTGAAAAATGATGGTTAAATGGTTAATATATGGTTGATATGTGGTTAATTAATATGGATGACTATGATGATTATTCCCAATATATGGAAAAATAAATTGCCATTTATAGTTGGTATTTACCCATTAAAAAATGGTGGTGAAATCACATGGAGAAATTCGCCTCTGGTAACACATCTTCACCAATGGGCTGTGGTTACCAGGCTAGCAACGGACCTGTCAACTTCGGAAACCGAAGAGAAAAATTTGGGATACCTTCTGGTATCGTCTGCGATACCAAAGATGGCAATGGAAAATCCCCTATCAATGGAGGTCTTAATGGTTTATAAATGGGATACGGGATACGTCACTACATTTTTTCTATATCACCTAATAAGTCTCGCAGGGCTCCCAGATCGCTGCTACACCACTCGGTGCCATGGTGGAATTCACCAAAAATTCGGCTCCACATCCCAACTAGCCGAACTGCAATACAACATGGTTGGTTGGAAAATTCCAAGTTTTTTATGGAATAAGATGGCATAATATGGCAGAAACATCTTCAAAATTGAATGATTGTAAATGCGTGATTTTCCAGCTAGCCAGGTTCAAGTATTAGAGTGTACGACTTTTGTGCCACAGAAAAGACACCAAAAATATAACCACACCATGCACCCCACCCCTGCATCGCGCATTCTCGCCAGCTGCTTGAAGTTTTGTCAATCTACATGTCTCTCAGCTGATCTTTCACCGCACGGATGTTCCCGCCACACCCGGGACTACCCCAGGTCACCACACTTCCATCTGCCAAGATGGCAGCAAAAGCGCTCTCTGTTCCACAAATCTGCCGCACATTCCTCGTTCGTGGTTTCTGCACAACCCTTGAACAAAATGAACGTTATTGTCGGAATTAATGACCATTCTCCTCATCCTCATTCATGTTCCTCATTGTGGGCCTAAGAGAACAAATTCATCCTCTTCATGATCTTCATGATCCTGATGATCTTAAGTTTTTGGGCCAAAACCACCCAAATAAACAGACCATACCGGCAAGAGACCCCAAACAGCGTGGCGGGTAGGAAGTCAATGTACCAGATACCTGCAACAGTAGCTATGGAACAGTAACAGATGAGGTCAGACATGATCGAACGTGCAGCAGCAGGACCTTCTATACATGGAGGATCTCACAAAATCTGCAGACAAGAGCTTCCTAGGAGCATCCCAGAAGAACTTACACACAAGCACCAATGCAGAGCATCGTCCAAGACCTTAATGCAAGGACCTCTTGAGGTGGATTTCAACAGGATCTCCACAAGATCTTCTCACAAGGACTTGTACGAGATCATGTAAGGACACCTAGAAGATTTCATAACAACCTCGTCAAGAGCTTCAAACACGGACCTGTACAAGATCATGAAAAGGCATCTGACAACATGTCACTGGGATCTCCACAAGATCTTCTCACAAGGACATGCAAAAGACCTTGACCAAGATCTTCATGCCAGGGCCCGCAAGAAAAGCTCCTGCTGCTGGAGAGGATCTTACAAGATCTTGACACGAGAACCTCCCAAGAGCATCCCAGAAGAACTTTCATACAAGCACGTCTAAGACATGGCATCTGCAAGATCTTCAGGAACTTCAGCCAATGACCTCTTGGAGAGGATCTGACCAGGATCTCCACAAGATCTTCTGACAAGGACCTGTACAGGATCACGCAAGGACCTCTTAGAAAGGAACTTATCAGGATCTCCGCAAGATCTTCTTATAAGGACCTGTGCAAGATCATGCAAAGACTTCTTAGAAGATGTCAGCCAGATCTTCACAACATCTTCTCGTAGGGACCTGTACAAGATCATGCAAGGACCTGTGACAGGACTTCATCAGGATCTTCACAACATCTTCTCACAAGGATCTCGACAGGACCTCGGTCAAGATCTTCATATATCACTGGGACCTCCAAGCGTGCACCATGAAACTCTTGCAAGATCGTGATAGCAGCAACCAAGAGGGGCACAACCTTTTTGTGCGAGCTTGTGCAATCGAAATGCACATGGACATGTGACAAGAGCAGTTTTACGCGAAAATTTACAGGCCCAAGATGCCGACGTAGAGTTTGTGCGAGCTTGCGCAGTCGCATTGCACATGGACATGTGACAAGACCCGTTTTACGCGAAAATTTACAGAAAAAATGGTGGAGCCCAAGATGCGACGCAGAATTTGTGCGAGCCTGCGCAGTCGAAACCCACGGAAAAATGCCGGGGCCCAAGATCAAGAAAAAGTCGCCCCGGAGACTTTGCACGAGCCTGCACAGTCGAAATGCATATGGACATGTGACAAGACTAAGAGCAATTTTATGCGAGTACTTACAGAAAAATGCCGGAGCCCAAGATCGCGACGCAAAGTTTGCGCGAGCTTTCGCAATCCTAATGCACATGGACATGTGACAAGAGCCGTTCTTGGAGAATTTACAGGAAAAAGGCCAGCCCAAGATCGCGTCTCAGAGTTTATGTGAGCTTGCGCAGTCGCAGCGCACATGGACATATCACAAGAGCCGTTTTACGCCGGAATTTACAGGAAAAGTTTCGGAGCCAAAGATCGCGACGCAGAGTTTGTGCGAGCCTGTGCAGTCGCAATGCACATGGACATGTGACAAGAGCCGTTTTTTACGCGAGAATTTACAGGAAAAATGCCGGGGCCCAAGATCAAGAAAAAGTCGTGCCGGAGACTTCGTGCGAGCCTGCGCAGTCGAAATGCACATGAACATCTCAAAGGAGCATTTTTATGCGAGAATTTACAGGAAAAATGACGGGGAGCAGAACGCGTACTCTGATCTAACCCCGGCCTTAACACTTACTGTAAGAACCCCTCAGTGGACACACCGTTTGGGGAACAAAAAAACTTTTCGATCCACCACTTCCGAAGTTCCTGAGCTCATCTTTGACGCTGCTGCAGTCCCCGCCACAGAAGCGATCGCCCCACGTCACCACTGAGCCATCAGCCAAGATCGCCGCAAAGGCCCGCGCGGTGCTGGCGACCTCCTCAACCTGGCGCAGCTGCCCTTGGACTGCGGTGCTGTCGCCACCACTGTGACGCGAACCCCACGTGACCACACGGCCATCCGCCAGGATCGCTGCAAAGGCGCGGTGGGAAGAACGGATCTTGGTCACCTGGCTGTGTGAAAAACTATAACAGTTGGGATGGGATCATCTATGGAGGTGTCCTAATGGCTGAGGCTACCCCTATTAATGGATGGCTTATTTCATGGAAAATCCATCGATAAAAATGGATGATTGGGGGGTACCCCTTTAGGAAAACCCCTTTGAGGGACAATAACAAAATAGCTGAAACCTCCATGCAGCAACTTTCTTGAGCTGATCCTGAACTTCGGTGCTGTCGCCACCACCATGAGGATCTCCCCAGGTCACGACACTTTGATCAGCAAGGATCGCAGCAAAAGCACTTTTGGTGCTCGAAATCTGCTGAACGCTTCTGAGCTCGTGCTGGACCTTAAAGCTGTCACCACCAGTCCAGCCCCATGTCACCACGCTTCCATCCTCTAGAATTGCAGCAAAAGAAGTGCTCGTGGCTTCAATCTGCCGCACGTTCCTGAGCCGATGCCGCACTGTACTGCTATCACCACCACAATCTTGCCGGCCCCATGTCACCACACGTCCATCGCCCAAAATTGCCGCAAAGGCAGCGCCTGATGCCTGAATCTGCTGGACGCCCTTGAGCTGATCACGGACTCTTGTGCAGTCAGCTGCAAACTTTGTATTGCCCCATGTCACTACAGTCTGGTCTGCTAAAATGGCAGCAAAAGCACCATTGGTGGCCTTAAGCTGCTGAACGTTTCGAAGTTGATCTCGCACAGCTTCACTGCGACCGCCGTGTTCGGGATTGCCCCATGTGACAACGCTTCCATCACCCATGATTGCAGCAAAGGCATGAGTTGAACTCTGAATCTGCTGAACATTTATGGGCTGGTTTCGGACAGGCTGATCTGATCCCCAAGTGACGATCCTGTCACCTCCAACGCACCACATCACAAAGGCGCTGGAACTTGCAACTATCTTTGGCTGCAGTGCAATCGCCGCAATGCTGTCTCCATCCTTCAGCCCGTTGAGCTCCAGTGATTTCGTGGGATCCAGTAGACGTCCCTGCGGCCCGGCAAGCCTCAGGTAGCGTTGCCCAAAGGCCCGTTGCGTGGCCAATTTCAAGTCGCCCACCGAAGCGCTGGGCGACAGCGTGATGACTTCGGAACGGCCACTGGGTAAAGACACCTGGGACTGATCACCAAGCCGCCGGAGGGTTCAAGGGGTCCCCTGAAGGCCCCAAAAGTGAGAAAAGTCTGGGAGTCCCTTCGGGCAGTCGGAGAATCTAAATGGATCAAAGGATTTAGCCACTTGATGTCCCACCTGATGTCCCACCTGATGTCCCACCTGATGTCCATGTATGGATGGTTTCTCTAGCCCGAACCCACGGGGGATGGTTTGGACGTTGCAGACCCAGCCTCAAGCTTCAGGCTGCGCAGCCCATGCTGAGTCATCAGGTCAAGTCTATCAAAGGCAAGAAAAAAGTAGGCATGATGAGTTCTCACGGAGGATGGGAAGCTATATGTACATATATATATATATATAGTTATATATATATATGCATATCTTATATATGCTGCGGTGATCTTTGGAGTCATTTTGTCTCTGCGACCATTCCATGATTGAGAGACTTGGAATGAACTCTAAGATTGGAAGTGAAAGGTCACCTTACATACAAATTCATAGACAACTGCGTCAAACTGCTGCTTCTTGCAAGATTGAAACACCCAGCTCACTTTTTGTCACCCAGCTCACTTTTTGTCGGGCCTATCTCTTGTCGAGTTCTTTCACAACCTGTTCCGCTTTGGAACTTGAACCATTCTGCTCGGACAGTACAGCTTGGACCATGATTTTCGCCTGCGTGGTAACAGTCAATGGTCAAATGCTACTTCTCTTGGCTGAAACCCAAGAAAATCCCGATCTCCTTAGTCAGTGGTTTGGATCCCCAAATGTCACCATGGATTTGTTTCAGTTTCAGGTCGTGTTTTTGGTCGACGACTGGAAAGCTCCAGTCGTGTTGTTCCAAGCGTCTTAGAGGAGGCACTCTCCCAGTCAACGGTCTGAGCCACCTGGGTGACATGGATGCCGGGTTTTAGCCAACCAAAAAATGCTGGGTTTCAGCAACAAAAATGGCGGCTCCAGCAACAAACAGCTGGGGGTGCCCATGTGAGTTTCACTACAAGACAGGACGGGGATCTGAGATGATCTAACCACGAAAGGACTCAGCACCGTGATCTGATGCCCAAGTCACTAGGTCCAGACCTTGGGAGAACTGTTGAGATTTCTTTGTTTCAGCAACCAGCAAGGGGTTTAAGCAAGAAGAACGTGAGCATGGAGTTTGTGGTGAGGGTTATTACTTGGCCACTTTTCACGACAGTCAGAGGCTTAGTAAGGGAGATAGGTAGATAGGGTATTTGCTTTCATGGGGACCACAGGAATTGGTACAGGATTTTTTGATACCATCATACGCCTTTCCATTTTAGACTCCATTTTGCACTACAACGAAAGCACTCCAGAACTGGAGATGGACGTGTTTTAACCAATTTTTACCATCTGGGTGTTGTCCGTTATAGTTATAGCCCTTGGCAAAAAAATGTGTTTATTGCCACCTTGCCCACTCTGGTTCATTCATATCCTGAATAACCTCACAATCTTGGCCACAATAAAACATCTCCAAGTCATGGCTATTCTGAGATTTGCGATTCCACATTTTCCATGATGCTTGATGATTCATTGATGATCTACAATTATTCTTCCAGCCCGCTGGGTCAAGACCTGTTACCATCCGGGCCCTTGGAGAACTGACCCCACCACTTGGTGCGTTCAAACCCTGCGTTCAAACTTGCCAATGTCCGACTCACCCTCAATCCACGCTTAAAATACTCAGACATGATATTAGGAATTACCCTACAGTAAGTGTTCACAGTTCGACCCTGCCATTTTTGGGGGTTGGAAGATTAGTTTCCACTAATTTGGATGATTTTCAGGGTCAGTTTCTGTGAATTTCCCAGAGGGTCAAACGGCAGTTCATTCCACTCAGTCCCCATGAACTAATGCTTAGATCCGTGTTAGGTGGTTAAAACATGATCAAAAATTAACCGGTGTCGAAATCTGTATCCCATAAATCTCCCAATGTTTGCCCCATGTTGAGCTCGGAAAAATCCTCATGTGGGGGCAAAATCCTCATGTTCGTTACTCATCAAATCCACATTGTCACATGTTCGTTGGTGAAATCAATCACCCAACTAACTCCATTGTGCCATCATTTACTGGCTGACCATCCAATAGTATCATTACACTCCGGCAATTTAACATAGCTATTGAAATTTGCCATAGAAATAGTTGATTTATCCATTAATAATGGTGATGTTCTATAGCTACGTTTACCAGAGGGTACACTTCATTTTAGCTGGTCAGAAATCCCATGATCATCCCGTTCTCATCTCAAGTTTTCCCACCACTATCACCATTAGATCACCATGAAATATCGCCAGTACCCTCTGGTTATGACTAACATGGCTATTGAAAATTGCCAGTTATAGCCGAATTAGCCATTGAACATGTTGATTTTCCATAGCTATGTTAGTTTACCAGAGGGTATATCATCATAATTGTCCCATGAAAAAAACCAGGAATCCCCACTATCCCTAGTGGGATGCCTAGTGGTATGGCTTCATCGCAGATATCTCTACACCATTTTAGATGGAGCTTCGAATGGTGCCGAAGTTGGAACTATAGTGAACCCCACCCATACTTCGAAAAAAATCCTCTTATTAATCCCATCCCCTTCCCAAAAAAAAACTCAATGAAACCATGGTTTAGTAGGCAAATTCCTACATTTTGTTGGGACCAGTTGTTTAATATTAGGGGTCACCCCATCGGCACCTTGCCACTGGCGAAGTCCCAAATCTGCAGCGCATTCTCGGTCCTCCAGGAGCCTGATCTCATCGGATCTGAACCACGGCCACAAGGCGCGAAACGGACACAGGACTGTGCTGAAATATAAATGTTATATATATAATATACATATAAATATAAATATAAATATTATATTATATTATAATTATATTATATTATATTATATTATATTATATTCTTATAGAATACTATATAATTATGTATATATATATATATCAATGATGATTATCATCACCAAATCTCACTCATGTCATTTATCATCGATCTGTTTCTCATTTTCTAGGGTAAATGACTGTAAAGAAGTGATATTTGGTGTTAATTGGTGATTAGCTGGTTGATGTTTTGTGAAGATTAGTGATTATGAGTAGTAACTAGGAATGTTCTCACCATTAGGAACTATGCATCAAGTACGTATAGTCATCTCCGGAAAAGATGAAACAGAGAAGTTCACCAATATAATACTGAATACCTCACTGGAAACCGGCATCCTTGATCTTTCGTTCCTTTCATTTGGAGATCAGTCTTTCTAGGGAAGTATTTCTCTGGAGATCAATAATCTGTCCAGCCAATAAAAATCGAATCTATTCACTCATTTGGTAGGATGTGAAAAATACAATTAAACACAACATGCTTTGAGCCTTTCCAGTTGTCAATTCGCTAATCAAATTGACTGACTTTCTGTGTAGCATTTGTGAATTCATCAAGTGGCATCTAACGATTCCCACCCAACTTTCAAAAAATGGCCATTTATAGTTGAATTACCCATAAAAAATGGTGGATCTTTCCATTTCTTTTTGTATGTTGACCGGAGGGTAACCATTCAACAGACCCCATCGCTGCCAATGTTGGATACCGCGCATCACGTTTAGCTAGCTGTTCCAGTGAGGCAGCTAAGAACGCTCTAGAATTGATCCAGAAACGATTTTGCTATAAACCATCTATAAACATCAGACATGGTTAGTATAAACCATCCATAAACCATCTATAAACATTTATAAACATCTATAAGCATCGTGGTATACAGTAAATCATCTATAAACCATCTAGAAACTTCTATAAACATCAGACATAGTTAGTATAAACATCCATAAACCATCTATAAACATCTGTAAACATCAGAAATGCTTGGTATAAACCATCCATTTGAACCACACCGACGACACCGACCCAACGTCAGGGGCAACTGGGCCTGTCAGGATCTGACGTCCATCGCTGGAGATGTCCACCGCATCGCCGCCTGGGAGTTTACCCAAAAGCCATGGTGAAGTCATGGCTTTATATGACTTAAGTCACGACTTACCCTCTGGTTATGACTAACATAGCTATTGAAAATGACCATTGAAATAGTGGATTTACCCATTGAAACTGGTGATTTTCCATTGTTATGTTAGTTTACCAGAGGGTAACCATGGCTTAACCATGACTTAACCATGACTTAACCATGACATTGTCAAGTCATGGTGTTATGACTTAAGTGACTGAGGGAGACTTCACCATGACTTAAGAAGACTGGGAATTCAACTGATTCAGCCATGGAAACCATGGCCCTAATCGAAATAGATGGTTTACCGAACTTAATAGCATGGTGGATCTTTCCATGGCTATGTTAGTCATAACCAGATGGTAATATATACATATACATATATATATATTTCTTTTTTGGTTTCTATTATATATATATTATATTATGTATATATATATATATGAATAAAATATACTTGAACCAGCAAAGAAGGAGAGTCAAGCGGTTCAAAACTGCTGAAGCTTTGTCAAGCCATATCTGAAATCAACCCTGTGAGAGCCCGAAGACCCTCGTGCTTTGAGAGTTTTTGGCCCGCCTATGTGTTAATTTGAGCCAAAACCACACTATCCAAAAGTTCATCAACTAGGGTTGCTCCAAACACCCCAGGTACGTTTGGGGTGTCAATTGGGTGAACGTAGAGGTAAAATGTACCTTCCCCCCCTCACGTGGCTTTCATATGCCTAGTTTGTTTGGAAAAAAACGTCCAATCCATTTGGATCAACAAAATTTGTGAAAAGAGGACCCACAAGATCTCCAGCAACCTGCTATGAATTAATCTCCCACAAGGACTTAAAACCTATTCAAAAAATTATGTATAGATCATGTTCATTCATTTTCCATAGATTGTTGAAGACAATGATCTTGAGATTGTTCCTAGAACTTCATCTGGTTGGTGGTATACCTACCCCTTTGAAAAAGTTCGTCAGTTGGGATGATGACATTCCCAAGATGATGGGAAAAATAAAAGTCACATCAGTTCATTCACTTGAAACCCATTAAAACCCCATGGGATTCTTCCTACAAAAATCTCCGGCATTTCCCGATGGGTTCCCATCCCTTGGGGGCTCCGGCAGATGTAACAGTTCCACAAGCTCTTCACAGAGATGCCTTTTCGCGTGTCCCACACTTGAACCTCAGAGATCTCTGGGTTTTTTTTCAATATCAATGGATGGGTTGGTGGCTGAAAAACCATCTTGAAAAATGATGGTATCGTGAAAGTCTAGCTGGGAAGGCAATGGGAAGGATGACATCCCATATATGACATGGAAAATAAAATTCGTGTTTGAAACCACCAACCAGAATGGATTGGTTTAAGGGAAAATTTACGGGAAAACCCATTTTTTTAGTGGGAAAATTGATGGTTTCCGGTGAAGATTTTCCCGACTCAACCAATCCATTGATAGAATGGAGCTAGCACCAGATGAATGGTGAAATCTTCGGTTTCTGATAGAATATGAATAGTAATCTATAGTTATTATAGTTCATAATGGTATACTATAGTATCACTAAACTATACTCATGGTATGATACTAATCTATATATATCTAATGGAATTTGAATGGGATACTCATGCAATGATATAGAAATCCATAATTAAAAAATAAAGGTTTCTAGTTGGGAAAATCAACAAACCATGGTGGATGTGTTTCGGCACCCATCATTGTAGTGAAGCCACGGATATCAGACTTTCGGCCATATCTGTGATCCTGAAATTGAGTCCTTCGCCCGAAGAAATGGATAAATTGCTAGGTAGGCTCTGGTAAACATACCAAAAACGATGGAAAGATCCACCAGTTTGCTCAACCACCACCCAGATTAATATCACAGTTACTATATGTTACATATTAATATTGGTTAATCATAGTTACCCTCTGGTAAACGAACATAACTATAGAAAACCACCATTTTTCATAGCTAAATCAAGTATTTCAATAGCCATTTTCAATAGCAAACTCTTGACATAACCAGAGGGTACCTGATGCTCCCTGAAATGGAGAGCCGGTGGCAGTTGCTGCGCCTGCGGTGACCGTTGATGCTTGAAAAATGAGAGAAAATGATGATTTAAACATCAAAAAAATGGTGGTATTTTCCGTAGTTTTTTGTATGTTTACCAGAGGGTAAACATCAAAAAATGGTGGTTAGCATGCGAATTTCATGGGCGATCCAAAAAAAATTGTCTCTGGGAAATCATTCCCCATGGCTAACGGGAAATCCGACGAAATTGCCCAACTGTTCATGAGAAATATCATCGAACTGGGGGATGTTCCAACATGTTTCATTTTACACCGGGTCTTCGGATCAGCCGCCAGAAAAGTGGAGAAAGTGGACAGCCTTTATGCCCGGTGAAAGAGTGCAAAAATATGGTCCAAATTGTGGTAATGGTTACTTTCATTGTGCTTACTTGGTGGCTCATCCCAGTTAGTAAGTGGGATATAACCCCAGTTATAAATGGGATAAGTAGGGTTAATCCACTTATAATTGGGGTTATAACCCACTTACTAAGTGGGATGAACCACCAAGTACTAATTCTGTTTCTATTGAAATCCAATGGGAATTGGTTCATGAACGGTTTGTACATCGTTGAGATCTTTCATATATCCACCAAAATCCCAATGAAATCATAGCTGGTGAGTTCTGAACAGTCTACAACCACAAAAATCCATCCTAAATCCCATCTATCTTCGAAAAAATCACCCTAAACATCCTATCCAACCACTACTAATCCCCATCAAAAATCCCATGACAAATCACCCTAAACCACGAATCGACTCGATCCAAGCAGCGGTGTTGTCCCAGCCTCCTGAGAGGATGATGTTGGGGTCATCCGGGTGGTACCTTGGACCGCGAATTCCGCGAAGGTGTCGTTGCGATTCCGATGCGGCGAAAAATCGATGCTGGACATGGGGAAAGGTACGGGAAAGACATCAAACAAAATCGGAAAATTCCTGGTGGTTCATATGGGAAAGTCCGGGAAATAAGTCATCTATAACATCTATTTAAAAAAAAATGGTCCATTGCCACGTTTGATAAAACCAGAGTTTTCGCACGGTTTTCATCATGACAATACTGGGCTTGAACTCGTTGCGAATCTCTTGCCGCCGCCTTGGCTTGGGGACGTTGGTGAATTCCAAAAGCCAATTCAATCATTAATTATACCATCTGGTTATGACTAACATAGCCATGGTTAAGCCATGGCCCACCATAGAAATAGATGGTTTACCGAACTTTAATTTAAAATGGTGGATCTTTCCATGGCGAACTGTTAGTCATAGCCAGATGGTAATTAAAACAAATAAGGGCACCAGTATCTTGAAATATTGCTGTCTTCACACAGGTGAACTGGCCTTAATAGGCAACAGTACTGTGACACATTGCTCTCTCTCCCTCTCTCTAAATTCAAGCTTCCCCTGTAGATTGCTAGATCTGCTTGCATATATCCGTGTGCACGCCTACAAAATGTATCCTCAACGCACTTTGTGCTGACTCCGACTACAATATGCGTTGAGATTATACCAGTTCAGCAAGTTCAGGAAGAATTCTACATTATCATAAATCGATTGTTTGTCTATCAATAAAATCTACACATCACCCCTATCACACAATCGTGGAATCATCCTCCAGTCAGCGATGATGACTTCAGATTTCATAGAAATCCCACTCCAAAAGGTTGGGAATTTACCAGGAAAAATAAGGAGTTAAACATGAAAATCGTTTTATTTCACCAATGGTTAGACTGGATTTGGGTGTCTGAAAAATGAGGGATACCCGGTAGACAATTGCCATTTCCGGCACTCGAAAAACCTGGGATTTTGGTACTGTACCCTCTTTTCCGGACCAACCTGACCATCGACCTCACCATGGAGAAAAGTTGAGTGAATAGACTGTAAATACCTACTTTTGTGACCATAAATCTAGCTACAGGTAGGTTGGAGCCTGTTTCTGATTCATACACCCATTTAGATGAATGAAATCCTTGACTATCCCCAATCAAAATCGATAGAAAATTCAAAGGCTATCTGGGAGACTCTCCAACTTCGGGGCCCCCCAACAAAATTCGATTCCGAAACCTGAAATCGACTACCGATAATCATAACCATAGCCATTGGAAATCCCCGAAAAAATGAAAGTGTTCATCAGAAATCATCTATAAATGGGTAAAACAATGCCATCTGCACCATCCCCCAGTCATCACTATCTTTGTTCACCATTCCCAAATGGGTGATGACATTGTTTTACCCACATGATACATGTGGGAAAGTGTCCTCTGCCACGTTTACCGAAAACATAACAGCCATATGTCGGGATTGTCATTGTGGAGTTCCCTCCTGGATTTGACCTGGCAATGGAAAATCACCCATTTATTACATGATGTGTCCATATTATATATGATATAATATAAAATATAATATAATATAATAACATAATATAATATAATATAATGTAATGTAATGTAATATAGTATAATGTAATATATTTAAATATATATTACAGTAATATAAAATAGTAATATAATATAATATAATATAATAGAATAGAATATAATATAATAGATATAAGATAATATAATATAATATAGTATAGTATAGTATAGCAAAATAATGTTATTTATATTATATTTATATATTATATTATTATATTATATCATATTATGTATATTATACATATATATATTAATGTTACATTGATTTTATATTTATGTTATACTAATTTTATGTTATATATATATAACTACTATATTCCCATCAAAATTTGGCATTTGCCATTAGCATGTTGAATTGCCAGAATGGTAATCCCTGAAAGTCACACTCAAGGCGGAAGAAAGATCACCTTGAAACTATTGTTTGGAAGTTTCCATGTGAATTTGAATGATTTCTGCCCCAATGTTCCAGAAACCCAGTAGGGGATGGGTCAAAGCCCATGAAATTTTCCCATACGGGGGGAATACACATCCACTGGTTGGTGGTATACCTACCCCTCTGAAAAATATGAATTCGTCAGTTGGGATGATTGTTCCCAATATGATGGGAAAGTCATAATCCAGTCATGTTCCACCAACCAGTCATAAAATGGCTAGTTAGTTATATAACTATGGAAAGATCCACCATTTTTAACCAGTCATAAAATGGCTAGTTAGTTATACAACTATGGAAAATCACCATTTTTGATGGGTAAATCAACCAGTTCATACACATCCGATTACTATACCCGCTACTCATTGTAGCGTACCCTCCGGGTGCCAGGGTTGTCATGCCTTCGCCATACGAACCAAGTCGCTTCAACGAGAAGATCCGGTTGGAATGTCCTGCGGTCTCCTGCAGGCGGCCCAAAGGTGGGAAGAAAGGCCCACGGCGCTGGTAGTTTTTAGCTGCAAGGGACAGAAAATGATAGGAATACAGGGCGTTTAACCAATACAAGGTGATAAATGAATGATAAGAATTGGGATGTTACCAACTTTTTTTGAGTGAGAAATTGGTAAGTAAGTCAAGGTTGAAAACGAGAGCGGACGCATACATCAATAGTCACATTTGTGGTCGAACAGCCAGAACGTGGATCCCAAAATGGCAAGGTGACCGCGTTTTCTTGGATTCGGTTCCAAATCCAATTAGAAAATCCCCGTGATATTTAATAGTTGGTTGATTCCTTGAATACAGAAAAACATATGTTTTACGTATTTTGCGACCAAAAAAAATAAGAAAAACCACCATGCTCCTTTGACAAAAATATATGTTGTTCAATTCTCCATTTGACAAAATATATTCCTTATGGTTTCCAGATGTTTTCCCTCCATCCCTCCATCTGAAGAAAAACCACCCCATCCATTTCTGGATGTGCATCCCACCTAGGATCCGTGGTTTATAATCCATATAAGCCATATAATCCCAGATATAAGTGGGGACATGATGCCTGTAAACAGCTGCACAATCTGCACAGAGAAATGGGTGAGCCTGTGGGACCACCTTCTGGGAACCACCGTGCTGAAACGGGAAACGGTCCGTTGGGTTTTGCCGTGGCGCAGCCCTTAGCGGATTCAGGTATCCTGTGGCATGGAGCCTACGGTCGGATCGCATCTCGCATAAGCATGGGCACGTTTTGCCCTGCGGCGCCAGCTTAGCTACCTCTGCGCCACCTGTAGCTGATGGATCTTCATCTGGATGTGTGCTCTTCAGTCATTGTCTACACGAGGAGCTAGTCTGGTGGTATTGTCCCAGGGCTCGGCGGTAGTGGGCCGCAGCCCTTTACGATAATCCATACAGTATAACTAATAATATTATATAATGTCAACCCCGGATTAATAAACCATGGTTTATTAATTTGGGGGGTACTCCTCCAATAGTCATTTCATCTAGTACTTCTTTATGGTACCCTCCCAATTAAACAGCCGTAAACGGGGTTTATTAATCCAGGGTCAATAGCTAACTGTTAAATTACCAGAGGGTAATATGATCACCATGAAAATCAATAACCATTATCCACCCATCCATCCCCCCGGTACCTCTCCTTCATGTCGCCCCCCTGCAGCGTCATCACCTGCCGCTTCGTGGCCTCATCGTAGACGCGCAGCAGCCGGTCCTTCCCGGCCGTGGCGAACTGGCTGCCGTCGTTGAAGTAGTCAAGGCCTCAGCGGAAGTGGCCGTCCGGGGCGGCGGCTGCTGCTGCTGCTGCTGCTGGTGGTGGTGGTGGTGGTGGTGGTGGTGGTCATCATCAGACACTGCTAATAATAATAATTTTAATAATAATCATCATCATCATCATCATAGATAATTAGATACTAATATAGGTATGATAGTAATAAAATGATGATAATAATAAGAAATCATTAGAGCATTAAAACAATAATAGTTATACTAATAGATCATCATGATAATATATAACAATTGTATAGTCATATTCATACTAATAATGAATAATTTTATCATTAAATCATTTCCCAAACCATCATGTCAACATCTCATTTTTATGGTTAAACCACGCTAAGGCCCCGTGTTCGAGGCTACATGAGGGCATCTACCATTCAGGTGAACAGAAATCTCAATGGCTTCTCCACTACAAACGGAAGTTCCGTAGAATTCTCCAGGTTTCCAATGATATTGATACATACATACATATGTACGATAATAATTATTGTTGCTTCATTTAAAGATGTTACGTATCGTATATTATCCTATAATATACTATATTATATTATATTATATCATATCATATTAAATTATATTATACTATATGATATGATATTATACTATATTATATTGTATTATATTATATATTATATTATATATTATATTATATATTATATATCATATATGCATGTATGTAATGTAAATGAAATGATACTATAATCTCGGACATAAGCTTGTTAGACCATGTTAAAGCTCATCAAATCGAGCAGCAGAAGATCTGGTTGCCCTTCTCCACAATACTGTGCAGGCACCTGCCCCGGCATGGCCAAGAAAAAGGTCATTACCCCAGGGTAAACTGACGTAGATATGGAAAACCAACCATGAATATAGATCATGTTCCGAAACCACAGCTTCTCCACATCTATGTTAGTTTACCCTAGGGTAATTGAAGTGGTCAACCCTCCATGATAACCTTTTTAGGGGGGATTGTTTGTACAAACCATTTTGGGTGGGGATGGTGTATAAATTTTGTTGACCACGTTAATCCAAGAATTGGGTAGCTGAGTCAAGCGTCATGGTCAATGGAAAAAACTGCTCAATCGCTTGACATGTTTCCCAGTACCCTCTGGTGAACTAACATAGCCATGGAAAATGGCCCATTTATAGATGGTTTGCCTATTAAAAATGGTGATTTTCCATAGCTATGTTTAATAACCAGATGGTATCCTTTCTAAACACCTGGATGATCTAAGCATCAATGAGTTCATAGCGACCGAGACATGCTTCAATCTTGGGTCCCACCCTCTCACACACAGGCTGGGTACGGGGTCAAAACCCAGGTACTGTACTTGCTATGGTGAAAATGCTAAAAATCAACAGAAGATGTTTGGAATAAGGTGGTAAACCCAATGCCATCAACTACCCTCTGGTGAACTAACATAGCAATGGAAAATCACCATTTTTCATGGGAAAATCCACTATAAATGGCCATTTTCCATTGCTATGTTAGTTCACCAGAGGGTAAACCCAATGCCATCAACTATTTCCAATAGAGGTTTTGGTTTTTAATGACCCAAAATGTCATGGCTGGCGACCATGGGTGACTGTGACATTGGGACTATAACATGTTATAACCCACATTCGACTCTTTCGAGAAGATATGGTGGTTTCCTAACATAGGGATACCCCAAATCATCTACTTGACTATGGAAACCCCCATTGTTTGCACCTGCCCAGTTTTGACCTCCCAACAGAAACTGAGTTCCTGCACTTGCCAGATTTGATGTGCCACTGCATGATCTGACCTACAGCGGTCGAGCCAGACCTTGAAACGAAGGCTTCCTGTTGAACTCCGATTTTTGCTCATCGACTCAACTCGAGTATGTGGCTTTTAAATGCCTTTGATATGTGGATATCCCAAAACTAGACATGTTCCAAAACTAAGTTCCAGTTGGACATTCGATAATCTTGTACCTCCACATGTTGCGGCACAAGTCATGTCAACCTGTGCCAGATATATTTGGACCCCACAAGCATCAACTCTTTGGAGCCGACCGTCGAACTCCGCGTTGACGGAGATCAAGACCTGAGTCAATGTGGTACAATCAAGATGTTTAAAAAAAAAAAACATGTCCTGCTATAGTCCACCAAAAATCCAAGATGGATGTGATTTTACAGCGGGGTTGGTGTTCCTTTAGAGTTGCATCATTTGGGTGTCTGGTGCTGTAAAACCATAAGCTATACGAAGTCGTTGGGCAGAGCCATGGATCTTATGACTTCCTCACTTCAAGTAGGGTGTCCCTTAGCTGAAACAACCAAAGCTTACCAAGGAAATCGAAGATCAATACTGTCCTTTTAGTAAAAATTTACCGGGGCCGGTTTGGTATACCATCTATCATCATTTATAAACCTGTTGTTTTTCAGGGGTAAACGTTTCTTCAAAGCCCTCTATATATTCATCAAGATTTTCGATTGAGCGCAAAATGGCCTGTCCCACCATTGTGGTCTGCCATTCGTTATTGGACATTTCACCCTGGAGGGGAGGGTGTGTCTCCATTGGCACGTCTAGTGAGCTGTTCGGCTCGACCACCGGCGCCAAGGCGGGCTGACGTGATAAGATCAAATAACATGGCCCTTAGGTGCTTGAAAAGGAGATAGTCGTCAAGTTTCAGCAAAGAGGATTGTGCCATACCCCAGTCTGTGACAACCGACAGTGCTGCTGAAAAGCTGAAACAGAAGCAGGTGGGCCTGTTCAGCTGGGAGCGACAACACAAATGTCACAACAGAGGCCGGATGTTGTCTGTTTTTGATCCAACCCGACGGGGCCAAATCAGTCTGCGCAGCCTCATCTGTGATCAGAACTTTGGCTGCAATCAACCAACCCATGGGAATTTGGGACATCTATGTCGAAGATGCCACCTGAAATCTATGGAGGCCCAGATCTATGAGTTGACCATTGACCTACCAATTTTTTGATTGCTAAAACATCGCGCGGCATCTGAGTGAAGTGATGTTTAACCGTTTAACCCTCCAATTTCTTCACTATATAGTGTGGGTAAAACAATGCCATAAACCAGCCATGACTGGGAATGGTTTATACTCTATATATATATATACATATATATACCACCTATTTATGGTGATTTAGGGGGATGTTTGATTATTGTTTTACCCACATTACATTGAATACCCGCCTTGAATGTCCGACCACTTCAAATCTCATCAAATCCGTCAAACATCACTGCTCAGCCGCTAGGTTTACCCACTAAAATACCCTCTGCCTGTTGCTTGACATATACCATATACCTTACCCATGATTGCTGCTTCCCCGAAGTCGGAAAAGAAAAGCAGCATTCAATAATTATTCAATGAAATAGGAATACTAACCACAATATCCCGCTCATAATGTTGCTTCACATCTCTTATCATCTCGTTTTAGAATTGTTTCCAGATTCTACACTACTAATTGGTGGTTTCAACCCCTCCGAAAAATAGGGAAGTCAGTTGGGATTATTATTCCCAATATATGGAAAAATAGAATTCAGGTTCCAAACCACCAACAAGACTACGTTTGCCCAACTTTTTCCCAAAGTTTTCCCCAATTAGATGTGTTCCATGTCTTTTCCCAACGCTTCCACCATCTTTACCTCATCTTTCCCCATGACTTTACCTACATTTTTTTCCAAGTTCCCCATGACTTTTCCTGAGTTTTCCCTAGATTTCACCTCGATGTTCCATGATTTCCCTAGATTTCACCGAGATGTTCCATGATTTCCCTAGATTTCACCGAGATGTTCCATGATTTCCCTAGATTTCACCGAGATTTTCCATGATTTTCCCAGCTTTTTCCCAACTTTCCACCTGTCCCCACGGCCGTCCCAAGCCACGCTCTGCGTCTTGGAGGCCGCCGCATGGGGCCGCCACCGCAGCTGCGTGGTGGGCAGCGGCGTCTGCGAGAGCTCGGTGTTCGGAGGGGAGCCGTTCAGCAGGAACTCCTGGCGTCCTGGCTTTTTTCGGCGATGCGATAGCCTCCAGGAATTCACCATGGCATAACCATGAATGGGATGTACCATCTGGTGATGACTAACATAGCCATGGAAAATCATGGAAAGATCCACCATTTTTAATAGGTAAACCATCTATTTCTATGGGCCATTTTCCATGGCTATGTTAAATAACCAGAGGGTACGTGGAAATCATTAAAACCTTAAGTCCCCAATGAAATCCAGAAGGAAAAAATGTCTGTGGCATTCCTCGGCGTGACATTTCGAAGGCCACGGAGATCGGAGCCGATGGGTTGATGAATGACTTTTTTTTTCGATGGGTTGATACTGGATACACTCCACGAAATTCACCATTCGACCCTTCCAGGGGCTGGAAGATGAGTGAGTTCCACTCAAAATGTGGTGTCAGTGTCAGGGTCTGGGTTAATTTACCATATATTGGAATATCATCAATGGGTTTATACCAGATACTGGATAGTTATTTTTGGGCGGTTCACCTCCCAGAGGGCCCAAGGTGGAGGTTGAACCACTGAAACCCAAGGATCAGAATGAGGATAAGGATGATTGGGCATTGTAAAGGTTTAAGCAGGAAATTGCGTTTGCCTTGTGGGACTTCTGCGTTGAGGTTGCAGAGGCGGCGTTTGTGATTTGGCTTGCAGTTTCTTTGTCAAAAAAGAGGATAACGATGGGACAATAGAGATAATAATGGAAATCTATAACCAGCTTCCAGCTTGATATATGGGATTATACTATAGATATATGGGGATATCATCGATGAACACTATACTAACTAGATATCATCGATGACACATATCAGAATCGAAAGGCTCTAACCCTCCATAGGTGCAACTACGGTTTTCGTTGGTGTCGGTTCACCTCCCTAAATGGATGGGGGGCCAAATCAAGGTTGAACCAACCCCCATGAAACATAATAGGGCCTAGGGATCATCATGGGATAAATCAATGGAAAGGTACAACCGTTTTATAATATGAAATTGCGTGATCAGCAACCATCATGATACATAGGGTTCAGTAACCAAAGTAGGCAGATAAATGCATGTTAACTGACATATACCCTCTGGTTATTCAACATAGCTATGGAACATGACCCATTTATAGATGGTGTACCTATTAAAAATGGTGATTTTCCATGGCTATGTTAAATAACCAGATGGTAACTATATAGTGAATAGAATGTGAATAGTCATGGTCTATATCAGTTTGGAAATTGCCTCAATGCATGGAGGTGATTAAAAAACAAAGTGGAAATTAATAAGATCAACCCTGGATTAATAAACCCCATGGGCTGTTTAATTGGGAGGGTACCATTGAAGTATTAGATGAAATGACTATTGGAGGAGTACCGTACCCCCCTAATTAATAAACCATGGTTTATTAATCCGGGGTTGACATTAATGATATAATAATGTAACATATAACAAACTTCACATAAACCAACAGTATCGTGGTCAATTGACCCAAGAGGGGGGGGCCAAGAGGATAAAGGATCTAGCAAGATATCATGAGGGTATCACTAGCGGGTAAGACTGGGGATAATAACGAGGATAATCATGGTATATATCCGGATATTTGAAAAACATACCATATATATATAGGGTTTTCCAGTTTCAATTTTTCCATCATAAAATTCCGAGATAATCACAAGCTGGAAATAACGGTTGGTTCCTGTGGGGATTTGTCAATCATCAGGTGATATCCCACAGGAGGGGGCCCCAAAGGAGAATTTCACAAGCAAAATGCTGTCTTTTACTAACAAAGAATGGGATGTATATGCTGTATGTGTGAAAAAATGGAAGATCGAACCAACACTTATGCTGGTAGAACTAGTAATAATGGGATAATAATGGGGATAAAAACGCGACATAGAGTAGTGGATAACGATTCGTGACAAGTAGGTAGGACTCTTTTCCCCATTCAGAAATATTCACGTAACGATTCGCGTAGCACCATATCCACCATGGAAATCACATCCATCCCAATGATATCCCATGACTTTCTATCATAATCCCATTAAAGATCCTATAAAAACCAGCAAAATCCCCAAAATCCACCAGCGATTCACTAGATCTGTGGACATCTCCGCATCTCCATCGCTGTTTGCGTCCTGTCTCAGCGCTGTACACGTGAATGGCGCCATTCGCAAAGCTGGTGGCCAAGTACTGGTCGTCCGGAGAGAAGCGCACGCAGAAGCAATCCGCCACCGGAGCGTAGCCGGGGTTCACGGTGTACTTGGACCTGGAGAGCTCGCGCAAAGCTGGTCACCCTATGACGGCTATGAAACCCCGACGAATGGGTGGATTTTGATGTGGGAAACCTATGGGATTTGAGGTCACAAATTGAGGGGGGGGACACCCCAAAGGATGGCAATTGGTCTGGCATCTACCTTGGCATTTGAGAAAAACCCTACCCCACAATCCCATGGTTATCATGGTTCATCACTGAAATCCAATCAAGATTCCCTTTTTGGGGCCTTCCCCCATTACACAAAGCCTCAAAGCCATATAAAGTGAGTAACTTTATATAAGTAACTAATAGTTATCACTAATAGTTATATGCCATATAAATGAGTAATTTTCTGATAGAGTTCAACTTACGAACTGGTGAGTAACTAATCGTCCAATAGTTATGCCATCACCGTCTCTGGGATAACTGACACATCGGAAACAAACTTGCAATCACCAGGGTTACTGACACACCACTTGGTGGTTCACCCCCACTTGGTAAGTAGGTGAAAATCCCCTGGTTATAACTGGGCTAAGTAGGGTTAGTTCACTTATAACTGCGGCTATATACCACTTACTAACTGGGATGAGCCACCAAGTAAGATGATCCTCCAAATCAATGGTGATTTCCCCCAACAAGGAGATGCGTTCGATGAGTAATGGAGTTGACTGAAAATTGGGTACCCTACGGTGCAGTCACATCCGCTGATGAATGGTTTTTTGCCTATCTAAATTGCTACAAATGGGGGTGCGGGACCCAGTTTCAGCCACACCCTCATGATGAATGAAATGGATACTAATTGATGATGTATGATGAATAAATGATACTACAAATCATCTATCATAACTGGGATACTAATTGATAACTCGTTGATTCTTATTGATGATAAAGGATGAATGCATGGATTTGGCTGAATTACAATTTGGGCCTATGAAAGCTTACAGTATTACATAGTATTACCCTCCAATTGTGAATCAATAGACGGATTATCTTCTACAAATTCAGGTTGTACCCTCTGGTAACATGGCAATGGAAAATGCTCCGTCTATGGAGGAATTTCCCCTAGTTGAAAATCTTGTTGATGATGGTTAATCCGCCATGTTCAGAGACATGTCAGTGTATTTCTACCATTCTACCATATGTATGTATATATATATGTATATATATATATGTATATATATATATGTATATATATATATGTATATATATATGTGTATATATTATATATGTGTATATATATATATGATTTTCCCAGCTATAAGCCTCCATCTGTAGGGGATTGCCCAGCCAGCCATGTTTCTTGAAGATCCAACTCACTGGGTGACTTGAGTGTTCATATTTGTAAGCCCTACTCTCTGAGAGAAACGAGGGAAGAATACAAAACTGGTTGGTGGTTGACCTACCCCTCTGAAAAATGATGGAGTTCGTCAGTTGGGATCATGACATTCCCAATATGATGGGAAAGTCATAATCCAGTCATGTTCCAAAGCCACCAACCAGTATAACATTATATAACATTATAACTCATTATATAACATTAGATAACACATATTAACATGTCATAGCGGAGGAAGAATACATAAAATGTCCAGCTGTCGATACACCCCATTGCCCATGGGTCGATCAGCGCATTGACCCCGAACGTAGAGATTTTGGAAGCTTACATCAGATTTAATGGGATTTAATGGGGATTTCATGGGGATTTTAATGGGATGTTAGTAATCAAGAATATGAAGTTGGGGTGATATACCCTCTGGTTATGACGTTCACAGTTTGCCATGGAAAGATCCACCATTTTATAGCTAGGTAAACCATCTATTTCTATGGGCCATGGCTTCCATGGCAAACTGTTAAATAACCGGAGGGTACGTTGTTTGCTGCTGAGAAAAAGACAGAAAAAAACCTCTTCCTAGAGTAGCTAGTTTTGGCCAGTTACAATGATTAATGAAATAAAAATAGCTCCTTCCTTAATGAAATAAAATTGGGAAGGAAAAAAAAACCAAAACCGTCCAACTTGTGAATATCATGTACAGGGATGAGTGTAGCTATTTATTCTAGTTGAGTTATAGCTATTGAAAATGGCCATAGAAATACTTGATTTACCCATTAAAAATTGTGATTTTCCATAGTTTTTGTATGTTTACCAGAGGGTATTCTAGTTGTATCCCCTTAAACCCCCGTTGAATTCCATTCAGAATTCCTAATGTCAATCCCCCCTTTTCGTTGCGACACAAGAAGATAAAAACTCCAAGACAAACTACCCGTTTTTAGGGGAAAAAGACAATAACTACTGACTACTATGATGTTTAGTCTATATATATATATTTATATATTTATATATTTATATATATAGTGATAATCATATGTAGTTAAATCCCCATCATTATCCCATGAAATAATCCCATCAACATGGATCTTCCCACTCTCCCGGAATTTCCATGTGCTACGTAATCGTAATGAGATTCATGATATTCCTATTCATGTCCCATTAGAATCCCATATTCCCACTATATTTCCACTATATCTATCAGTAAATTGTCACCTTCTTCTCTATTTTGCATGTATAGTCCACCAATAACTGCCATGATATTCCCATGATATTCCCATTATAGTTCGATTATAGTGATAATTGCCATTACCATCTGGTTATTTAACATAGCTATGGAAAATGGCCCATAGAAATAGATGGTTTACCTGGGTTGACCTATCAAAAATGGTGGATCTTTCCATGGCAAACTGTGAACGTCATAACCAGAGGGTAATATTTCAATATACATCCTACACCCACAGTTTGATGGGGTATAACGGGATACCATGACACCTTCTAGATGCTATCGGCATTTTTTCGTGCAATGATAAGCCATGCTATGAGTATCACCATAGAAAATGTAATGGTGCAATAGACATGGTCATTGTTTTAAGTCCAGAGAAAAAATGCTGGCTATGGTTAATCGTTCCATTTGTTCGCAAACTAAAGGACTAATGATTATATAATCGGCCCGTTGTTCACCAAAAAAAATAAAGGATGTTCCAGTACCTATCCAGCCGGTTGGAATTGTCTATCTCCATGAAACTTGTATTATATCCATCAATATCCATTGATATTCCCATTACGTTCCCATTATATCAGTGAATATTGCGGTGATACAATACTTCAATATGGATCTTATTACACCCACTGTAATGGCAATATATTGATACTAATATATAACATATTCCAATCTACATTCACTATCATATTGTAGTAGTATACCCTATTGTGATACGAATAGTATATATATGTTGATATGTTATGTTCGGTATGATTCCATGTTTTCACTATATTACTATAGTTATATAACAATGTTGATACTAAATTATTACTAATAACTATAGTGATACTAGTATGGTGATATATCCCCACCGTATCCCCACTATATCCATGAAAATTCCAACTGCCATCTTACAAGTGGTGTATTATCAGTGGTGTATTATCGATAATTTATGTTATATTATCGGATTAAGATCTATGTTTATCGAATTACTATGATTGCCATCTCCATAATATCCACTCATATCAATATTACATATGAATACACATGATTGCCATATCCATATAGTCAACATATTCTCCATCTACTACCCTCTGGTAAACTAACGTAGCTGCGACGTAGCTATGGAAAATCACCATGTTTGATAGGTAAATTAACTATAAATGGCCATGTTCATAGCTATGTTGAATTGCCAGAGGGTAATTGATACATATTAATACTAAGATAATTAATGAATATGTATATACCTCTAGTTGTACATGAGTATCCATAATATTACCATCTGGTTATGACTAACATAGCCATGGAAAATCACCAGTTTTAATAGGTCAACCCAGGTAAACCATCTATTTCTATGGGCCATCTATACCATGGCTATGTTAGTCATAACCAGAGGCTACATCCTACAACTACCAACCCCCGGCCTGATGCGTTTCGTCCCGGTCCCGAAGCTCGCGACCTCCTGTTGAACATGTCCAGGGGTCAATAGATTGCAAATTACATGGACCCGGCCTGGTAAACCAAGATAACTATGGAGAAAAAAAAAACTCTACTCTATAAATGGACCATTTTCCATGTAGTCTACCCTTCAGGGTGTGACTCCGATCATAGTGTGGAGAAATGTCTCCAACCCCTCATAGGGTTCACGGAAGCATCACAGAAAATCAGACCGTCTAACCCTGAAATGGTGGGTTTTCCAGCAGATGTTCCCATACTCATCATATTCATATATGTTCCAATCTTCCCATTACCCTCTGGTAATTTGTTACATAGCTATTGAAAATGACCACAGAAATAGTGGAATTGTCCCATTTGACAGGATGGTGGATCTTTCCATAGTTTGTTGGATGTTTACCAGAGGGTATTCTAGTTGTATCCCATTAAACCTCCGTTGAATTCCATGAAGAATTCCTATTGATGGCTAATCTTCCCATTACCCCCTTGTAAATTAACATAGACCCTGAAAATCTCCCATTTTTAATGGAAACTAGTCTTCCAACCCCGATGACTGCCAGGGTCTATGTTAATTTACCAGAGGGTAATATTTATAAATCTTCCCATAATGGGTATCTTCCAGGTTCCATGGTCACTATTCCCCAGTCACTATTGATGAAGAATTCTAGTTGTATCCCCATTCTATTCCCCAGTGACCAATCTTCCAGGTTCCGCCCCCTTCGTGTGTCCTCACCCCCTTCGATGGCCATCGCACCGCCATATCCGCCCGCCATGGCCACGCGGCCCCGTCCCGCTGTCAGCAAACGAAAACGATCTAAGGGCTGGAGCCATTTTTCGTAAGGCGGGGCGAAGCGATGGAGTGGTTGAAGAGAACATATGGGAACTTTTGATGGGAATTTTTGATGGGAATTTTTGATGGGAATTTTTGATGGGAATATACCGGCAAAACGAATCATACCAAGGCTTCAATGGATTGATTTAAGGGAAAATCGAAACCAGAAACCATGGTTTTCACAACCAAAATCCAAGGGAAAACCTGAAATCTGGGCCAAAATATGCCAAACCCCAGGAGGTTTGGGCCATTTCACTTATATAAGATAGTCATTTTGGGATATCCACCATTTTCAAAGAACCCCTTATGAATATGATGATTATCATGGAAAAATGATGAGATGGTTGGAATGGTTGGTGAACCTTTGGTCCATCAAACCCTAGAAATCCGCAGTCCAAGTAGGTGAGTTATTTGAAACAACTGAAACAAGCGATTGGGTTGGAAAAAATCAAAGTTTCTATTTGAGTTATCCTGAGTTATCCACTGGTTGGCATCGAAAAAATAAACCACTTTTAATTAAGGTCATGTGGGGGTGTATCTCATTTTCAGACGCAACTATTTGTTTTGAAGTATCTTCGGGTTCCTTTTGGGAAGTACCGAATACCTTTTTCGGTGAGGATTGGTCGCATCAGAAGTTTCCCGGGAAAAACATCTAGACTTTTCCACTGATCTCTTGCGCAAACAATTTAAAAATTCCCGAAAAGAAACACATCTCGATGTTGGATGGTTTTTTTTCACAGCAAAACCTGCTAAATATGGGTAAACCCATCAACCTCGCCTCGTTTGCCAAAGGTCATCATTTCGGGAATCTTGAAAAACATGATCAAAACATATTGTTCAACCAAAAAACAGAAACTACCCTCTGGTAATTTAACATAGCCATGGAAAATCACCATTTTTAATAGGTAAACCATCTGTAAATGGACCATTTTCCATGGCTATGTTAAATAACCAGAGGGTAACACCCAAGAAAAACCCACGTGTCATGGTAAAACCTATGTAAACCCCACATGTTTTTCACAGTAAAAGCAACATGAGACCCTTCAAGGGGCAGCTGTGCGATGCTGGGCGACCAAACGCGAGGGCCCTTCCCCAACTTGGGTGCGGGGCTGATGTGCCTGCAGAACGCGAAACACCATTGTTTTAAGGTATAGATCTATATTATGAGTGAAATTTTGTTTCATATTTATATATATATATATATTTATATCACACGTATATGTATAGGGGTCATATGTAAGTGTGTATCTGTATATAGATATAGATATAGATATAGATAAAGATAAAGATATTAGATATAGATTCAGACTAGATATAGATATAGATACAGATATAGATATAGATATATATATAGATATAGAGATAGAGATAGAGATAGAGATGGATAGATGGATGGATGGATAGATAGATACACTGTACAATATATGTGTGTGTGTGATGTAATGCCATCTAATGTGAGGTAATATAACGTCAGGTCAGACCATGTGTATGCATGCATTCATGCATGCATGCATGTATGTGTGTGTGTACGTACGTACGTACGTTGTATGTATGTATCTATGTATCTATGTATCTAGGTATCTATGTATCTATGTATCAATGTATCTATGTATGTATGTATGTATGTATGTATGTATGTATGTATGTATGTATGTATGTATGTATGTATGTATGTATGTATGTATGTATGTATGTATGTATGTATCTATGTATGTATGTATGTATGCATGTATGGATGCATGTATGCATGCATGTATGCATGTATGCATGTATGCATGTATGCATGTATGCATGTATGCATGCATGTATGCATGTATGCATGTATGCATGTATGCATGTATGCATGTATGCATGCATGCATGCTATGTGTGCTATGTATGCTGTGTATGCTGTGTATGTTATGTATGTTATGTATGTTATGTATGTTATGTATGCTATGTGTGTTATGTATGTTATGTATGTTATGTATGTTATGTATGTTATGTATGTTATGTATGCAATGAGTGTAATGAGTGTAATGTGTGCAATGTATGTAATGTATGCTATGTAAGCATGTAATGTAATGTAATATAATGTGATGTGATGTAATGAACTGTGATGTAATGTAATGTGATGTAATGTAACGTGATGTAAAAAAGTTTAATGTAAAATAATGTAATGTAAAAAAGTAATGCAAAAATAATGTAATGTAAAATCATGTAATGTCAAATAATGTAATGTTAAACAATGTAATGTTTAACAATGTAGTGTGAAATAATGTAATGTAAAATTATGTAATGTAAAGTAATGTAAGGAAAAGTAATGCGATGTAATGCATGCATGCATGTATGTGCATGTATGTGCATGTATGTGCATGTATGTGCATGTATGTGCATGTATGTGCATGTCTGTGCATGTATGTGCATGTATGTGCATGTATGTGCATATATGTGTATGTATGTGCATGTATGTGCATGTATGTGCATGTATGTGCATCTACGTGTACGAGTTTCGTGTATGTCATGTATGTCATGCATCTCATGAATGCATGTATTATGTAATGTATTTAACGCATGTAATGTATGTAATGGATGTAATATGTAATGTATGTAATGTATGTAATGAATGTATATACTGTATGTGATGAGTGTAGTGAGTGCAATGAATGTAACGAATGTAATGGATGTAATGTTTGCAATGTATCTAATGTACTTAATGTTTGTAATGTATGTAATGGATGTAATGGATGCAATGGATGCAAAATGTAATGTATGTACTGTATGTAATGTGTGTAAAGCATGCATATGTGTGTGTAATTATATTTTTATACATGTCTATTTAGTGTTTAAGTATGTTTGTTGATCATTTATTTCTCGCTTCAATAGTTACAATCATATGTCAACACTTGAGGTATACGGTATCATTTGGAGGTACCTGAAATCAATAGGTCACTTGAAACCCTCAAAAAAATTCGGGGAACAAACTGGCACAGGTCACTAAGGTCACAGGTCCTCTGGGGACACCATGTGCCATTGATATTTTTGTAGTCAAGGTATGACTGGTACACTCCAATGATGTTTGAAAAGTGACCTGATGGCACCAAACAAAGGTCTTCCCAATTTGTGCTTGGACGAACATCCAAGTACACCTGGAGATACCTGGAGCCAATGTAGCCAATGTGGCTAGAAATCGATGTTTTGGCTCTGATCTTTGCCACCAGTCAACTGCTGTCCATCGAAAAAAAACCCACGGATTCGATGAAACATCGATGAAACATCTATGAAACATCCATGTCATGCGAAACCTGACTTTAATCTTGTTGCATCCAGCTGGTGCACTTTACACCAAGCCCTACGGCCATAATCCCTTTAGGCCCTCTTGGCTCCGCACCCACCGCCCGTGGTGTCGACGTCCGCCTGGCGGAATCCAACCGCCATGGGCGTTGTATAATGTGATCATAGTTTGAAACCAATTACCCTCTGGTAAACTAACATAGCTATGGAAAATTACAATTTTTAATGGGAAAACTCACTATAAATGAGGGTTTAATGGTACTTACCCTCTGGTAAACATACAAAAAGCTATTGAAAATGGCCATTGAAATAGTTGATTTTCCCATGAAAAATGGTGGATCTTTCCATAGTTATGTAAACGTTTACCAGAGGGTACCTGTTTTCCGATCTGAAGGATAATCTAGGGCAGCTCTTCTCATGATGTCACGTCGGGTCTCTCCATGCAAAGTAGTAGAAACCGGCAAGAAGCAGGGTTTATCCATTGATATTTCCCAATTTTTAGCGGAGAAATAAGCAGGAAACAAACCTAGTCATTTGGTGAACCCAGAAAATTCCATCAAAAGGAGAAATCTGCAACCCCTTTTTACGGGATTTGTTCAGATTCACAAGCAGGGGCCAATGTTTCATCCAAAACAGCAGCTGTGCTGAGTACAGTAAGTATGATTTCTATGGTATCCACCAACATTCCTACCCTCATCAGGTTTTTGGGGATCATCGGGATCATCCCCAAGATGCTTCAAAACCCAATTTCAACCGAGTTTCTCCGAAAAATTTGAGCGGAAAAAAAAACAAACGATTTTCCCGGGATGACCACCCGCGCATTAGCGCAAACCTCAGGCAGGCTGTTTGGGTATGATGGATGTTTATTTTCGAAAAAATGGTCACCATTGCCAGTAAACAAAGTCCAACAATAATGATAATAACATATATATATATAATAACAATAACAATTTTCCAGCCCATAGTTTTATTTTTTCCCCTGTCATGCCAGTCCAATCTAGTCGCGTTGCACCTAGATTGGCCCGTTTTTCACCCTAGTTGCTGCTGGAATTCCAGTGAAAATACTTAGAATCAGTCACCCTAATGTTAAACACCCCATAAATGGTCCAAATGATGTGGAAATTCCCAACAAAAACCCATGGTTTCGTTTAGGAGGTGTTTAATATGAACGGGGGAAGGGATGATTTTGTTCAGCTATCAGCTCAAAGAAGTGGCTAAGGCAAGAGTAAACCATCCCCAATTTACCATCTGGTTGGTGGTTTTAACCATCTTGAAAAATATGAAAGTCAATGGGAAGGATGACATCCCATATATTATGGAAAATAAAAAAATGTTTGAAACCACCAACCAGCCATAAATGGGCGGACCATATCATACCATATCATACCCCTACAGGCATCTTATTGTTTTCGCTTTATGAATATATTACAGGATCAATTAATAAAATTATAGCAACATTACACCATATGGTACCCCTATTGGATCCTATGGGTGTCTTATAATTCTGATTAATACCAATAATTGCTTTATAGCATACATACCATACATTATTTACCAACATACGAGTACCAACAATTGCTGTCTTGTCCCATTTCTGTGGGTGAACTCCCCCTCTGGCAAAACGCATCTTCGCACCTCTGCCGGCGCCCGAAGCTTCCACCTGGCTAGTGGAGAAACTTCCAGGGAAAGGTATGGCAGGCGAAACTCGGTGGTAGGAGAAATCCAATAATAATAATAATAACAATAATAGTAGTAATAGTAATCATAGTTATGATAGTAGTAACAACAGTAATAATTGTAATAATAACAATAATAATAGTAAAAATAATAATAATGCTTGAAGATGTTGAAAAAAGAGGACTGGGTTCATGATGTTCATGTCGGCACTTGAAAATCAGATGGGAAACCATGACAACAGTGCCATCAATAGTTTTGCTCTAACAAAATGAAAAGGAGTAGCCTTTAGTACTTCAACTATCTTCAACTTAGCATGCTTAGCTAGCCGAAAAACCAGCTCTTTACTTCAATGATTATCGCATAGATCCCTTTCCATTGCCATGTTGGCCAACCATCCTCCGAGCTGCTTGGAGAAGATGCCCAACTAGTTCTAGTAATCACCAGCGAACCAGTTAGAAACTATATAAACTATATACTTCTATAGCTACACTAGTGTTATAACTAGTTGTACAACTAACTATGTATATTAGTATAGCCCTTTAATGAATAAATATCGAAAATATATGTGTATAATCCCTTCCCCCTATTGCTAAACCTCCCCCAAATAAAAAAAACTAGGGTCCATCTCTAATTTTGGAAAATTTCAGGTTTGCCAATTTGACTTTTAATTGATCCCCTTTAGAAAACAATTTAAAAATAGAGCTACCATTTGTGGGTTTCGCCCCCTAATAATAAAAACTAGTTAACCCCGGGGTGTCTATTATTAGGGTCCGTAAAAATTTGAGTTTTTTTTTATTAAGGGTTTCAATTTATTAAGGGTTTCAATTTATTAATAGGGTCCGCTTCGAAATCCAATTTTGGGCAATATTTTAATTGCGTTATAAAAGGAAATTTAATTGATTTTGAAATCGACACAAATAGTTTTTTAATTGAGGGTTTCAATTTATTAATAGGGTGCGCTTCGAAATCCAATTTTTGGCAATATTTTAACTGCGTTATATAAGAAAATTTAAGTGATTTTGAAATCGAAAAAAATAGTTTTTTGTTACTAAGGGTTTCAATTTATTGTTAGGGTTCCCTAATCATAGATACCTAATAATAAAAACTACCTGAAGTGTTTATTATTTGGGGGGTTATATTGTGTATATAATAAACATCAACCAACAGGGTTTCTAGGTCGTCGGGCCGGCAAGGTGTGTCATGATGATCTCCAACATCTCCCTATATGGATGGTTTCCAAATTATGGTGCTATCCCAAGCTCGCTAGATGGTTTATCATGGAAAAAACCTACAGGATGGGGCCCCCCGGTTATAAGTTTGTATATTTTCCATTCGATCGCTGTTGAGTCTCGCTCGTGCGAAAATGCATCTGCTAATTTAGTCATCCTTGAAAATCTGGGAGGAATCGACCAGAAAGGTGACCAGCAGCACTATACAATTCCTCAATCCACTTCGCCTCTGAAGTTGAAAGTGGTTCACCTTCAACGCTGCCACAGCAATCCAGTCTGTGCTTGATACCGGATGCTATGGCGTGAATTAATGCACGACACATCTGGGAAGGATATTCCTTTGCCGCAGCGGTCTTGAAGGATCCATCTTTGTTGCGACCCTTCAGTGGATTAATTGGGCGAATTGCTAGCGGATCAACGTGTTCACTCAGTGCCCGAGCAACGATGGCAGGAGGACCCAGGTTCAGCGCTCGCAAGGTCGTGGGTTTGATGCCAGAGCTGCCATACTGCCACTGTTCAACTTCGTGCTGGTGAGCCCCAGGGAGGCTCATGAGCAACTGTTGATGACATGGTGTTCTCCATACCGAAGCTCGCTCAGGAAGAGGGTGTTCCTTGGGATGTTCCATGAGAGATCCAGCCCCTGTCATGGTCAACTCAACCTCGAGAATGAAGGAGTGCAAAAGGAGCCTGGAGCCAATCAAAGTCTGGTACAGTTCTCTACCTGTCCGCTCAGGGATCATCCAAGGCATGTCAAAGGATCGCAAAGGGCGAGGATGACGTCCATCAGGGAGACAAAGGTGTCTCGCCGCACTGAAAGTCTCACAAGGCGGTCCAGTCAATCCAGCTGCAAAGCGCCTTTTGCGAATGATGTTCACCAACTTGTTGAAGACGGGTCCTCGATCCAAGTTGCCCTGTATGGGATGGATGGCCGTGTCAACGGACAGGATGCATAGCTGATATCCCGGCACAAAGTCCTTGAAACACTGTGTCCAGAAATGGCAATCTCCTCTGCGACGACGCCCGCTGAAGAGGTGCAAGATCCACAAAGTTGGGATGCCATTCTCCATCGTGAACGGCACTTGCAAACAATCCGGCATGAATGAAATGGGTAAAAGAAATGGTTCAAAACAAACACGTTGCAAAGCAAATGGATCAACTAAAACTTCAACATCATGTGTGTTGCGTGCATGCCCATCCATTGGTCCTGTCCCAGCAGGAATGAATGCACTCTCCATTCGGTGTTGCCATGCTAGAAGTCGTCCAAGAGTGGTCGAATCTTCCAAATCGTGCAATGCCAATCGCAAGCGTCGAAATGTGCAAGGAGCCAAATGCGCAAAACGTCTGTAGACCAGTGTAGTGCGCAACCACAGGCAAAAGGCCCAGAGCTTGCTGTCATTGTCGCCGATGTAGTTGGCAATCTCGAATACCACCTCATCTGGGTCCACACTTGCAACCGGTTTCCATGCATTCACAATCTCATCGGCTTTGCAGAATACTTCAATCTGCAAAGTCTCATCCAGCACGTCAGGAAATCCTTCATGGGTCCATGATGCGCGCAACTGATTCAAGGCTTCCTCATATGTGGCCGCAATTTCTTCTGCGGGTGTAGAGCATGGTGAAGCAACTAATACTGCCGGAAGTCGAGCGTATCCACGAAGGTCATCAGGTACTTCGACAGCACAGGCTTCGGCAAGCGGCGCATATCGCCAAGTCAATTGGGCATAGCAGCCTCTTTGATGTTTCCGAGAATAGCGCAAATGTTGCTGCATTCTCGCTGCTGACCAAAAACATCTTCGGCAAGCTAAACATGTATCCGAGAAAACGAAGCGACGTTCCTCAGAAATTTGTTGGTGAGCCAACCATAGGTGCACTTGCAGCTTCTGACGAGAGTCGAAACTCTGGGAGCACCAAGTGCATTCATGCAAGCGATCTGTCAAGACTGGGATGGTCTGGCCAGTCTCCTCAAACTTCGCTCCACCATGCAAAAAGGACCGCATAAGTTGTTTGTGCAGTTGAATGGCGTCTCCCAACACATGATTCTGCAAAATGCTGCGTCGGTACAAACGTCGTACCGTTCTGGGGCCCTTTTCAGCATTTTGTGTAAGCCATGACATAATGCAAGCTGGGTCTGCATCAATCAATGTCGTGGGACAAAAACAATTGTCCATCTCGGACAACCATGTGAAGGCACGTCGTAGTGCGGCAAACCATCCCTTCTCTGATGCCGCTGACGCCGTGATGAAGTCAATGAGAATCACTGGTCCAGCAACTGCACAATGAAACGCATGAAGCAGGCGGGCTTTCGCAAGCCGAAGAGCAAGTGGAGCAAGTTTCCATTGACATTGCAATTCGAAGTCTGAATGTTGGTCATCTGTCCAGCATCCGTCATTCACGATGGATCGTTGCCATTTCATGATGCAACTGTGAAGGCTCTGAAACTGTCTCTGGGTTAACAACATCCAATTCCCAGATCCGTGGAGAAGGACCGGAATCACGAGACTTTCAAACAACTTCAAACGTGCATCAATGGGAACGTGTCGGTTCCGCAATATCTGTTTGGAAACTTGACGGTATGCTTGGGTGGCTCTGGCTCTCCTATGAGTGATTTCATGTTTGAGGTCTCCGTCCGCTGAAAAAATGGTACCTAAGTGTTCATATGAGGCAACACATTTCAAGGACGTGTGCAGGGTAGGCAGAAGCAGATTGCCCATCTTCTCGACCATGAGCGTTCGTCGGTGGTCAGGAGCTCCATCCGCACGAAATGAGACAACTGCTTCGGTCTTCTTGTGCTTAAAATTCAAGGTCAAACCAAATTTTCTGAAAGCCTGTACAGAAGCCTCTGCAACTTCAACCAATGCGGTCTCAAGGCTGTCGGCTGTCGGAGTGACGATAGGAATGGCAACATCGTCGACCCAGGTGACAGGCGGCGCATGCATGGCTAAGTGTTCAAAACCTTGTTGGAGAACCGCAATGTGACCAAGCTTGTGGTGCAATTCATCCAGCACGTAAACCATCATAGCATTGAATGCTATGTCAGCTAGCGGGCTGCCTGGTCGACTGCCCCGAGAGGTTCTGTAAGCAGTTGCATCTCCACCAAGACTGAACCATGTGAAGTGATGAGCATCTTGAAGCAGCCGTTGGTCGCAGATGGGTACATCTCGCAGAAAATCAGAGGAGGTTTTCATGATTTCACTTAAGAGTGCATCTACGTCACAGTCTGTTTGCCCAAGAAGATCACGCAGGGACTCCGGTATTGTCGGATTCGGTCCAAAGAGAACCTGTCTGACCATGCAGTGGAAGGCGCTTTTCACATCAATGAAAAGCACTGCGGACGAGAGTTTCAGTTCGGCTGCCTTGATTTGGAAGGCCCTCAAATAATGAGTGGCGAACAGGGTGGTGCAATGGGGAAATCCCCCCAACTGGAGAGGGTGCTTCCAAGCCGTCACAGTTGGGATGAATCTTTGTCGCAAAATGGCGTGCATCACTTTTCCGATGACATCAACTAAAAGAATGCCCCTCATGTTGGCTACATCATTGCTGTGAACCTTCTTCGATATTGAGTGGAGCAAACCGCCCTTAAACTGAATCGGTTCATGTCCCAAGACCCACATCTTGAAGGCCAACAACGTTAAATGCTCGGCCAAGTCAGAGCCTGATGTTCGAATGAATGAGGGTGGCAGTCCATCCAGACCTGGTGCTCGATTTGCTGAGATTTGTTGCAGTCGGTGTTCAACATCAATACGACTAGGGAGCTGATTCAGGTGAACGACCAAAGGCATGTCGGCAATCTGAGCTTTTTGAAAGTCATAGCAATCTGTCAAAAGGTCTTCATATGTGGTCTGGGTGCCATCCTCCAATGCACAATAATGGTGAGCCTGCTGTGCAGTGGTGGGTCCGTTGCAACGCAGGTTGTTCCTGCGACGATTCTGCATTTCGGCAGGACAGGACGAATAGCATCCCATACACGGTGAAAACCTCGTTCTGCAAGCTTGCCTGTGTCCTCAGCAATGTCGCAGTAAAAGCGACAATCGTCATTTCTCACTGCTACACACACTCGAAGAGAAGCTTGACGATAAATTTCTTCGGCCCATGCAATGTCACGAAAAGAAAACTTGACGTCGTGGTCTGCAAGGGAAAAAGAGTCATCAGAGAATCGCCATGCTCGCATGAAGGTTCGAAGAATGTGATGTCGCCATTGTTTATTAAGGTCTTTGACTCGATTGAACGCAGTCTTCTTCTGCCTGATCAAGTGCACTGTGTCAGGAGAAAGATGAGTCTTACGTGGAATGACTTTCTTTTTGGTAGGCATCCACGTCGTAAAATGGTTTTGCAACAATGCGGCATGAGTGTGAACGTCATGATGCCAAAGTGGCCATTCAGACAACTGAGCATTGGGAGCTGATGAACTTGGTGTAGTCGTCTTGATCAAGGGAAGGCAAATATCTGCACAAACACATTCATGGTCTTTGCGAGCAAGCGACAGATCAATTTCATCCTCAACCCATGTCGAGACATGATTGTACGCAATGTTGTCTGTAATGCCAATGAAGTCAATTCGAGCTCTGGCCAAAGTAGGATGTGTCCAGGTGTCATGAGGTCCTATATGGCTCTGCTCGAATGTTTGTGGAAGCCAAAGGCCGTGTGAACAAAGCCATTCATGGAAGATGGCACCGCGCTCATTTTCAGTGGTGGCACCAAAGCTACCAATTGCTTTGGACTGAATGGAACCAACTCGGCTGTTGGCGTCACACATGACGAACCATGTCCAGGATGCCATACCAGAAGGAATCAAACTGGACGTGGTAGTCCACCATTGTCGCACGACTTCAAAGTCATCTTCCGAAGGTGCATGTAACACAATGAGAAGCAGCTTCAAGGAAGGATGTCTAAGTCGGACAATGAGCCGTCTCTCATCCCCATGTAAAATGCGAAAATGCTCATGACCAAATTGAATGGGTCCCTGTGAAGTGTGCAGCGTGCGAGCAAACCATAGTTGCATCCCATTGCAGCCTCTTGCTGTTGCTGGCGAAGAGAAAACATGAAAAGAACCGAACACATCATGTCCTTGTCGTTTGCTTCTGGTTTCTTGAAGCCCAATGCACTGTACTTTCCTTCGGGTGAACATGCCTTCAAGATGTTCAGCCCTGGCGCCAAAGAAAGTGGAAGCATGTTTCTGATCAGGGTACATGGTCAACACATTGGCTGTGGCACATCGAATCCACATGGCTTCGATCTCTTCATCATTTGTCGAGGTATGTGGATGACGGAGCATGAAAGGATGGTTCTCGGCCAAAGGGACGCTAGTTAACGGATCAATGCAGTTAACTCTCCATTGCAAACCATGCAAAATGGGCGCATCCTGTGCATTCCAGAGTGATCGCTCATAAAGCCAAAGCCATTGAAGAGGAATCAGATCAAGGGCATCAAAAGTACAAATATTCATCAACAACGTCATATCAAAAGAAGCATCACTGGGAGTACGAACTGAAGCTGCGATGGTGTCAGCTAATTCGTTCCAAGGATGATCCGAATGCCCTTTCACGTGAAACCATCGCGGTTTGCAACCGTGAAGCTGTTCAGTCCAAAGAGCAAGTGAGCGCACAACCGCTGTCATGTCGTTGTTCGAAATGGAAGCACTCTGCCCTTGAGCGACTTGACCAACATACGTGCTGTCATAGTGGAAGTCAATGGGAATCTGAGTGTACCCCCAATAGCAAATCATCGACATGGCCCAATGAAGGGCAAGGATCACTGCTGTGGCTTCACTGCGTGGGGCCGATGGAGCTTGCCAGCACCAAGCAGACTGATATCCTCCAAATCGTTGACCCTCTGATGTATGTACAATCATAACTACTCCAGCTGCTGCAGTCAAATGAGCACGTCTGTAGGACCCATCCGTGAAGAATTCAAACTTCGTGGGTGTCTCATGTGTCCAAGGCTCAATGGATGCCAGCTCACGCAGTGTAGCTTTGGAGCATGAAAGTGTCGAAGTGTCAAACAAGACAGGTCCTGGACAATGCTCAAGCAGTTGTCTTCTCAGAAAGTCAATCTTACTGCAATCAATGGAAGTCCAAACTGGTGCAGGAATGTGATCTGCCAACGCAATGGGTGTGCCAGCAGCCTGTGTAGAAGAGCGTGTCATCGACGTTTGCAAAAACGCCGTGGGTTCTGCAGTTGGATCTTGATCGTTTGTGGTTGTATCACTTGGTGCAATGATGTCGATCGCAATGTGATCACCATGTCCAATCCGCATAGATCCGTCTTCCGGCAGAAGTTGTGAATCACGTCGCACAGAAATTGGCAAACCCATTAATGTGCTTGGAATAGGAAAAACTTCAATGGCGCTCCTGTGGGAAAGACGATCAGGATGATGAAGTGCCACATAGTGAGAGTCTTCTTGTGTCCCACGATGTGTAGTGGCTGAAAGAAGCACAGCTCCATGATGGGATTGAAGTTCTTGTGCAACGATGAGATGACCAATAAATGATTGCCTGGGGCTGTTGACTGGCGTTGGATCGATCCAGAAAATGTCTGTGTTCAATCGAACATCAATGCGGTCACGCCAAGCCATGATGAGAGTCTGAAACCATGCTGTAGCGTCATTCCTGAGGCGTACTGCACGTGGCGACTGGCATCTTGGAGCCCTCAGGCCATTCAGGTGCCAAGTTTGTACATAGGCTACTTGTCCTTCGTCTTCTCGCTCGACTGCAGCCAGATCATCAAAATGACGACGAAGTTCTTGCATCCACGCTGGACTGTGAACCATGTGTGCCAAGGGAAAAGGAAGTGCTTGACCGCTGTTGAGAGATGCAACACGATCTCGTAGATGAAGGTCGTCAAGGTCAGTCATATTATCCCAAGCATCATGGCGTCGTCTATGAATGAGGAAACGGAAAGCATGTCCATGTCTGGCATATGCTCGTTCTTCAGGTTGGAATTGGCGATTGCCGAACCAAAGAGCACATGCATTGGATGGTTGCTCAGGCGGGCAATCGGCAATCGCATCAATCATGTTCTTGACAGACTGCGTGTCCACACGATCACCAGTCACAATGGCCATGGAATGTGGTCTTCCTTGGTCGTACTCATTGTCATACACTGACACAATAATGGAGCGTTGGAAACGAACAGGGCGCTGAACAATGATGAGCTGGCCAATGGTTTGGGCTGCCGCGTCTTCTGGCAATGGTGATACCATGAAAAATTCAATCACTGCACCGGGCATGATGCGCTCCCTCCATAATTGTTTCAGCTGGAATTCCCAGTTGTCATAGTCAGCTCCCAACACTGCCATTCTTGAATTGTAACACCTCTGATAATTCCAATGATCGGAAAACCAGGTTTCCAAGCGCGCCAACATTTCAACGTTGCCTGGTCCGATGTGCGCCCCATCTTGCCAAACTTCATGAAGATCTTGAATCCATGGCGCAAAGTTGGAAATGTCGTCAGCCGGTGCTGGAAATTCAGGGATGTCGTCCGCAGCTTGTTGCCATAGACGGACGGTTCTCAAGAAGTCATCCGTGAAGCTGCATTGCAATCCTTGGCCGTTTTGAAGCTGTGTGGGCATCTTGGGCATCCTGAATGAGGGCAATGTGGTCTGAATATCAATTTGAAGGAGTCCAACATCATCTGCACGCCCGTATTCTTGTCGAATTTCCTCAGATGGTACCAGACTGGGTGAATAGCCAGAAAGGGCTGACGGGCTATTGTCTCGAACAAAGTCGATGTCTGGTGGAACTCGACTGTAGTGTAGGACCTGTCCAGTTGGTAGGTCACATCCTTCAGGTGGGGGCAGTATGATTTTCAGATAGGCTCCAGAACGAATGTTCAATCTTGGGTTGAGCTGCGTGAAGATCGGTTGGAGATTGTGGTAGAGCAAGCACCGATCACGCTCATGAGCACAGTACAAATCAACTTCAGCGGTTTGGAAGACAGCACGACGATCTGCGATCAAAGGCATTGGAATTACCGAGCGATCAATCGTGGGGGCCGTGAAGTAATGAGCCTCACATTGGTTGGCATGGACTTCAATGTCGACCAAAGCCAAGCTGCGCAGCCCACCTTGAATCACATCCTCAACAATGTATGCAATCAAAGGCACTACATCTGGTGGAAGATCAGGCAAAGTGACTTCAATGTCAAAGAGCCCAAGAAGTTGATCATCATCAATTTGAAGAAGCATAGCTGCATCATGCATCATCTGCACATAGTCGGTCCAATCAATGCGTCCATAGACCGGTGGGTCATCAAGATGATAAAGGCAAACACACTGAAGAACGGTAGCTGCAGAACTGCTTGATGCAGAGTCATCTGTAACTTCCGTTTCGTCATCACCACTCATTGGATCATCATCGTCAGGTCGATGATGTCGCTGAGGGAAGGCGTCGTCGCCATGACCAGGTGTTGCCTGTAGGTGTAGAGGTCTGAAAATGGGTAAAGCATCACGAAGTTGATGGACTTTGGGCGCAGTTTGCATGAAAGAAGAAACATCATGATCAATGGGACGTGAGTCCGAGATCAACACACTGTTTGGTAGTGGATCTGCTAGGGCATTGTCACCATGAAGAAAAGGATAACAAAAACTGCGCGAAATCCATGGGGTGTTGCTCCATTGACAGAAATCATCAAACGGAACTTGTCGATTGACGGCAATATTGGCGTCCTCGTACTCCACAACAAGCTGCAATGAGGAACTGAAACTGACTTTAGGTCGGCAGCGCTTCGGCTTGCCCAGACTCACAAGGTCAATTCGTAGCTCAGGCGATTCCCCAATCGCATGGGCCAACTGAACTGCAGCCTGTAAAGCTGTCCATGGAGCTTGGAAGGTCGGCTCATCCACAGCATAGTGTTGCCAATTCATCAAGGCGACATCAGCCGCCGACAAACATTGCCCATGACAATCGTACACTTCAGTCACTGATTGCCGGGCCGGCCAAAAGGCTGCATAGAGGGAAAGGAAGCAGCGTCCCCATCTGCCGCCACAACTTCCTCTTCGGCCTTCTTTTTCTGTCTTTTGGCTTGCTGCTCTTCGATCTCTGCTTTCTCGGCCAGACCTTGCAAGTTGTCTACCACTTCTGTCAAGCCCGCATGGATACGCTTCGTGGCTTCGAACTGCATGTCTGCGTCTGCTCCAGGTGTGTCTCGCTCCTCCCCAGTAATCTCCTGTATCTCTTCCTCCTTGAGGAACTGTGATTGCTCGTGGAAGTTGCGCTTGGCTGTCGACAAAGCTTCGTTTGCCTGAGTCAGCTTCTCTTGGAGCGCTTGTTCTTGAGCTTGAAACATGGATGTGTACTCTCTCCATGTGATGACACTCTGCTGGAGGAAGACTCGCCAGTCGGATACCAACTTGGTGCGGTACGCAAGAACATTGGAAAGTGCACGTCGAGCATGTCCCAACTCCTTGACTGCAGTCTCCAGGCCCTTGTTCATGATCTTGTCGTCGCGTCTTGCATTCTTTTGCATCTCTGCTTGCAATCCTGGCGTCAACGACTCTTCCGGTGCCTGACGCAATTCTTTGAGAAGAGATTGCAAGCGAACTTCGGCTTCCGAAGGTTGGGCAGGAGTTGGCGCATACATGGCCGTTTCTCCACCAGCATGATGTACCCGAGTCACATCCGGGTGTCCAACTGCTTGATTCGAAAGCGAGGATGGCATCTGGGCAACCAAGGTTGCAGGTGCAGGAGGAGGCGACAAAATGCCCTGCCCATACTGCCCAACTGCATTTCCATAGCCCTTTCCATCTCCTTTGATGGGAATCGGCGGAGGTGGAGGCAAAGTTGCCACAGGTGTCAGGCCTTGCGTTTCTGGATGATCTCGATGTTGTCCACGTCCTCGTCCGCGATGCCTGCGTGATCGAGGTCGTTGAGTGTTCTGTGAACCTGTGTTCCACTGAACGGCATTTGGTGGATGATTCTGCTGGTGCCACGGTGCTGAAGTCAACGGCTCTTGATATGGTCTTGAGGCGGACTTCGATCGGCTCGAGGAATCGCCCGGAATGTAATTCGGGTCGAAAACCTGTTGCCAGGGTGCTCCACACCATGCACAACGTGGCATCTGTCCTTTGAGAATCTTCATACACTTTTGACACCTCCAAGGCGGGCTCTTCGTAGCCATGGCTCTCCGAAGGGAAGCAAGAAAACCAACGTCTCGGCTGTGATGAGAAGCAAGTAGTCTGATCAAATGTTTGATGCGGGCAGGAGGAAGAACAAGTTGACCAGTCTTGTGCAAATGCCAGCTCAATCGTGCACGAGCTCTTGCCCTTCTTTGGAGACGCCTCTGTGATGGAGAGACCGTAATTCTTGAAGGTGGGAATCAACCACAAGGCAAGGAAGATCTTAAGTGCCCTGCACATACACCAGGACCTACACAAAGTCACGGAGCAAATGCTGGGCCGGCAGCTCACCTCGCAAGCAGCCGCCGAAAAGGCAAAGCCAAGCAGCGCGCAAGCACAGCCGGCAGCCCGTGGGTCGCAAGATCAAACGCCCCACTAAGGTAAGGAACGATCGGGAAACAAGATCGCTTGATCCAAACCTTAAGTTTGTATATAAACCATTATAATCCCCATTAACTATAGTTATATTTATATCTACCATAAACCAGTGTTAAGCCACTTATAAGCCAACTTAGCTATCTTGGGGGCCCCATCCTGTACTAAAATGGATGATTTGGAAACCTCTACATTATATTAAACCATATTCTAGCATATTCTAAGCCGCTCATCGTGTGGGAGATTCCCTGGTCATAGATGGGTTTCAGCTGCGCATGTGCCATGGTCAGGCTACATGGTACATGGGCTATGCTAATTCCATCATTATTATATAATCCTCCCAAAAAATGCCATATGGAAGCATTGATGACCATCCCCCCAAATTGATCATTGCTTACCCTCTGGTAATTTGTGACATAGCTATTGAAAATGGCCCGTTTTTAGTTGATTTACCTTTTGACAAATGGTGATTTTCCATAGCAAACTGTTAGTTTACCAGAGGCCACCATTTTTTGATGCTTAAATCATCATTATGAGGCAACCACCAGTTTTCCATACAGTAGCTATGTTAGTTTACCAGAGGGTAATCTAATCCAGCTTTTGACCCTTTGACCATGGCAGAGATGATGGGTCAGCTGTTGCCCATCCCATTCTTCGTCAAGCGACGGAGACCAATCGATGTAGTTCTCATCCTGACAAGTGAGCAGTGTTACCCTCGCTGATGAAAAAACAAATGACAAGCTACCGTTAAAAAAAAAAACATCATGGGTGTTATGTGATCCTATGGTACCATAATCCCCTGTAATGTCGTACCTAGATTAGTGTCATGGACCTGTATTGTGTCAATAGTTTAAACATAATTCAAGATGACACACAGGTCTTCTGAGCTTTCGGGCAAAATGAAGCGTTTGGCCATGGAGTCACTAAAGACCCCTGGGTTTGTCTCAAAAAACAACGGGAGACCCCATGATACCACCAATTCCATGGACTTGTAAACCATGTTGCCCCATTGAAAGAGACATCGGTATCATCATCCATATCCAGCCTCTGCTTCCCCCAGGTCTCAAAATCAACATCGATCGACCAGTTGGCGTTTGAGGGATATCATTTTTGGACAAAGTCATTCCTGGAGGTGTCCATAGGGGTACCCGCAAAATGGTTGGTTTATGGATGATTTAGGGGTACCGGGGACCCCCATTTTTGGAAACCTCCATATTCCTATCGTTGTTGATTCAGTTTGTCATTCTTAATCCCTTTCGTGGTTGCTGATTATTTCTCTAGAAAAATCACTCTAGTCGTCGTGGTGCTAAATAGCGGTAACGAAACTTAACATGAGTTCAACTTTAAAAAAAAAAAAAAATCGATGCCAAAAAGACTCAGTGTAATTGATTGCCCCTTAGTTCAGTCAAAGCCAAGAACTCATGATACTCAATAACATTGGTATCCCATTGATTCCCCCTCTCCCGGTCACCTGGGTCTCGGCCACCGCAGAGCTGGCGGAACCTGCGGAACCAGGGATGTCCAGGGCTGATATGGGTTGATTTACGGCAGTTTTTCAAGTAGAGTCGATGGGGTAATTTTCATATAAACCACTTTTTTGACCAAGTCAGAACTGGGGGGGTTCCGCCACCTTGTGGGTTGAACTATGTATATAACTATGGTAAGAACTCATTCCATGGGATAATATGGGGGGCCTCTACAACTTTCCTTTGTGGAAAACCCACTTATTCAAGTGGAACTGCACCCCCACGTGGGGTATGAGAAGAGAAACATGTAGTAGTTTGTAGTTGTAACTACTGTTGGTAAGTCAAATAACCACTACAACTATAAGATATGTATTAAGTTCATAACATTTATATATAAACATGCAACTGGTGGTTTAGGAATTAGAGTCCAACAAAATAGAAGTACTAACACGTCCAACATGCACTAGCTCGGTTCGTCCGGTTCTTTTCGGGGGCGTTCTGAATAGCCTAAATGCAAGTTGTTAAGAACCATGCTTGGAAGTGGTGAATAACCATGCTTGGTATCGGGGGAAGCTTGGGAAGTACCAGGCTTCATAATCCATAAGATGGATTATGGTCATATGCGATATATCTAGATGGTCCATAACCCACCAATCTACGACTGCTGATATAACCAACATATGACTGGGCCATCGTTTGCCCGTGGCCGCACAGAAGATCATCTTCACGAACATCAGTGGCAAAGTATCATGATCACCATCATCCGCATCATCATGATGTCTGTCTGTCAGCGTCGTCATCATCATCATCATCATCAATTCCTAATGGGTTGATGATCTCCATTCCCCTTTCGTTTAAACGGTAAAACACACAGGTACCCCAGGGTCCCAACGGGTCCCAAAGGGTCCCAAAGGGGGTCAGTTTTCTCCCCGAATGACCAACACCTCTACCCATCTGGTAACAGTTTGCGAACTGAAAATCCCCATCTTTCATTGGTAAATCAACGAACTAAATTGCCATGTTCAATAGCTTTGTTAAATTACGTCAATACAGAAAAAATAGTTGCCCTTACAATTCACCTCATGAAACCGGTGAAGTCGGCCAGTGACAACCTTAGAATTTGCCTGGTTTTGCACCTGGAAGACCTCCTCACTTAATGTCATCATGGCAGGCCATTGGGATCCCGGAAATCATGGTGGTTTTACATGGTGGTAGATCCTTGGGAAAATCATGGGAAAATCACCTATAGATGGAGGTTTCTGGGAAAATCATCGAACTACCCTCTGGTAATTTGTGACATAGCTATTGAAAATGCTCCATTTATAGTTGATTTACCTATTGACAAATGGTGATTTTCCATAGCTATGTTAGTTTACCAGAGGGTAAATGGGAAAATCTCCAGCAAGGCATGGTTGATTATTGGGTAGCTCAAAGTGTCTTGGCATCGCCGCAATCTCCCTCTCTCAACTTATCGGTAGGATTTGGACCTGCAGACAACATGTGGCATAGTGAAAATGCCGAATATGAAACATCTCCCCAACTTCAAATCAAATCAGACCTGAATAAATACTCATAAATACTCACAAATATCACACATATCACACATATCAAACAATTAACTTTACAATTACCCGGAAAATTCATCTAGAAATTACCGGTGCTATTTCTAACTCATCGCATCTGAGCCTCTGGGTAAATCAACGGATTTCTATAGGTGCTATTTGCAATAGCAAACTGTTAAATGTCCAAAGGGTAGGTGATTAAATTAAGAAAATTGAAATAAACCATCATAAACAAAAACATATATAAATTGCAGTGCATCATCCGAGAAATTGAAATAAATTGAAATAAATTAACAAAAGGTTAACACCCCGATGTGATTTTTCGCAACAGAATTTGGGTCATTAGATGTGATTACAGTACATAAGCCATCATAAGCCCAAATTGAATCCCGCACAATAACATGGTTGGTTCCCGAAACATGCTTCAGGGGTAGCTTTGTTGTCGAACAAACTACTTGTCCTTCTCCAGGAATTTAAAACCAGGTCATGAGGAAAATCGGAGCCACTGCGGACAAATCATTTCAACATGACACCGCTGTGGGCCACACAATTCATGCGGGGATCCAATGGTATTTGGGTAATCCAAAGTAGGGTAACCGCGTAATCCCCAGAAAGTAAAATAAAATACCCTCTGGTAATGACTAACATAGCTATAGAAAATCCACCCATTTTAAGTTCGGTAAACCATCTATTTCTATGGATCATTTTCCATAGCTATGTGAGTTTACCAGAGGCTACATATGCTTTCTCAAGGCGCAACAATGAACAAAAAGGGCCCTGATCTCGGTGGAATCACCTACCTGAAAGACCGACAAGACCATCCGGAGCTAGAAAATACCCCATTGAAATAGTGGATTTACCCAGCTATAAACTGGTGGATCTTTCCATAGTTATGTGAACGTTTACCAGAGGGTAGATATATCTATACCTATAATACCACCATTATAGAGATGTTGGATTGCTTGACCAATGGAAAATGGCCTATCTATAGATGAATTTCCCAAAATGGCCGATCTATAGATGAATTTCCCAGGCAAACCTCCATTCACAGAAAAAAACATCACATTGCTACGTTTGGTTGCAGGGGGGGTACGTCCTGATTCTCAATGATTATATCCCATTATCCCATCTTATATCCCTATAGTACTGCTATGTCCAATAAGTTACTGTTCAAGAGCCACCATCAAAAAAAATGGGTTCCCATTGCTTCTCCCCACAACTTCTGCGGCCTGAGATCTTCTCTTCCGACGTGCCGGAGATTTCCTCCGGGGCCAGGGTCCTCGCGTGGAACCAGGAATGGCCTCTGCGCAAGCGTGAGACATTTGGGCGGAGTTGACTTGCAAAAAATGATGGATATACGCATATATACGCTTTGCTTTTTTCAACATAGCCATGGAAAGCGGCACATGAATATAGACGATAAAAGGGATGATTTACCTATTTAAAATGGTGATGTTCCAGTTCACTACGTTAAAAAACCAGAGGGTACGTACAAGTACCCTCCAAGAATCATAAATTATCAAAAAAACATCACAAAACACTGAAAAAATGGGACCTTGATAGGGTACCACTCTCCCCAGAATGGGGATAACAAATGAGATATCATGGAAATATCAGTAACAATCTGAACAATGGACGGAAAAAAAACCATACGGCCAGGACGAGGGCGCTGCCTGTTGCTATGTCGGTGAAATGGCAACTTGGCTGACGAGACTTGTCTCCAAAACACAAAACCCAAAACTCTAAAAACTAAATCTGACATGAAAGCCTAAGTAGGCCTTGAAAGTAAAATCTTACTATAAAACCGTGGGAAACAAAATAATAAATAAATCATGAAAGCCTAAAGAAAACCGAAAGAAATCCTAAAGAGTTGGTCCCATGTATTTCAACCTCTGGGCAGCACCCCTGGCCTGCGGGTAATAATATAACATAATATAACCAACAATCTGATTAACATAGATAATACCAGTATTAACTATTAACTAGGATATAATATTAACATAATAGATGGATATAATAGGAAGATATATTAACATAGATATCCAACAATCTGATTAACAATATGATGGATATAATGGGAAGATAGTCATGGTAAATGGATGATAGTCGTGGGGCGACTATACCAAAATCAATGGTGATTTTTCACCATCAAATATGGATTTGCCGGTTTACCAAACAAGAAGGGATTTTTTGGGAAATACCACCAACAATCTGAAATGTGCTTTTGTGAATGCTCATGCTATCATACCCTCTGGTGTCATCATACATGCTTTGGAACTCTGCGAACTAGGTGAGCATCTATCTATATATAGGCCAATCATCGAACTCTTTGGGTGGTTTTCCATTGCCATGTTTGATTACCAGAACTCTCAGAGAGTAAGTACATGTCCAGCAAAAAAAATGGTGGTTGAATGGATTTAAATAAATGTCCAGCACATAAAATGGACAATGTGGCGGATGTGTTGTTTTTACAACACATCCAGTGGATTCAGCCACCAAAAAAACATCTATATAGTGGCAGTCGAGTGGACTTGTGGCAGGTTTATAACCTGCAAAGTTGTGGGACTTGATATTAATCTTCACCTGGTTGGTGGTATACCTACCCCTCTGAAAAATCTGAGTTCGTCAGTTGGGATGATGAGATTCCCAATATGATGGGAAAAATAATCCAAATGTTCCAGTCACCACCAACCAGGTATTTAGGACCTTGGAAGTGAGGTTACATCAATATGAACAGGAGATGGGAGTATTACATCCTATTTTTTGTGAAGTTCATCAAGGCCCGATTGTTCATGGTAGAATTCCCGTTCGAGATTCTAGCCCCATTCCAAAATCACTTACCCTCTGGTTATGACTAACGTAGCCATGGTATAGATGGCCCATTTATGGATGATCTTCCCAGCTAGAAACCTCCATTTATAAGGGGTTTTCCATGGCTATGTTAAATAACCAGAGGGTAAGTTTACTAATCCCATCAAATTAGTTGCTGATCCCCATCATATGAGTTATTAAACCACCATTGGTTTTCTATTTAACCACCATGACAGATGGTCAATAACCTGAAACGATGGGATTTTGAGTTGATTTACCCAGCAAAAAAAATGGAAAAACCCAGTTTTGGGGGGTTCATCCCGGTCACAGCCTGAGCGTTCCAAGGGCCCTTCCTCCTGGAAGGGAAGAAGTTTTCGTTCCCCTGATGAAAGCACCAAACAATGGAAAAATGTCATGGGGTTTCAATCGGATTCCACGGGAATTTCATGAGAACTCATGGGATTTTTAATGGGATTTTAACGAGATTTGATGGGATGTTAATGGGATCCAGTGTACTGTTATGGGATTTTAACGGGACTTGATGGAATTTTAATGGGACTTTATGGGATTTCAGTGGATCTTAATCAGACTTAACGGGATTTTATACACGTTTAATGAGACGTTACTAAGTTACTAAACTAGTGTGTTACTTTTTGCGAACTGCAGAGTTGTTCTGCCATTTTCCCACACCTTTTCGAACGAACCAACAGCCGCCCCTCGTCCTTTCCGTGGAAAATCCCAACAGTCTTACAGGTCAGATCCTTCCACTTTTTACAAAGTGAATCTCTTCTTTTTGGGGGTTTTAACCACCCAAAAATATATATATATATATATATTTCTACACATATCATCATACACATTAATATAATAATGATATATTAATCTTGATATATAATTAATAATGAGGTTAAATCTCCATGTTCGTAGCTTATAACTTATCTGTTTGGTGGTGCAATGACCATCTTATGAAAAATGATGGAGTTCGTCGATGGGAAGGATGACATCCCATATATGAAATGGAAAATAAAATTCATGTTTGAAACCACCAACCAGTTATTGTAACAGTTAGAACCACCATCTTTAGTTCTAAAATCTATGACTTCTGCAGCCCCAGGACCCCAGGACGCCCCCACCTTCTCTTCCAGGAAGCCTTTCACGCGCATGCCACACCTCACGTAAATGTGGCGAAAAACAAATGGGGAAGATGTTTATTTTACCATAGGACTTGAGGTGATTTTTCAGACCCAAGTATGAAAAAAGCCATTGTGGATTTATATAGATACCTGGCAGTGTGTCAAAACCTTGTACCTAAAAATGTAAATGGAATGGATGTTCATTCCCCTAAAAATGGTATTAATAGGTATTGATCCATACCCACCTAGGGAATCCTAGGGATATGATACATTTGGAGAGAGATCCTATCAGAAATCCTGCTGCCTGCAGTGGCTGCAATGGAGCCGTTGAGCCGGAGCTGAAATGGAGCTTATCTATGTAACCCCCAAATTTCAGGAAATCATCCACAAGCATAGGGAATATCTGGTGAATATATGGGGAATATATGGGGAATATATGGGGAATTGATGATCAATGGAAAATTCAGGATCCTAGAATGGAGGTACTGTACCATATAAGGCCACATTTGGTTAGGTACAAACATGCCTTAGTTACAAACGTTTTGAACCGTCGCTTGGTGAACGTGGGGATCACAGGAATGATCGAAAATCAACCAAAATATGCACTTTTTGAAATGAGCAGTGTTCAAAATATTGATTATGATAATCCCCAAGATCTAATGGATAGTATATGTAACCCCACAATCCCATATATGGTGGTTTCCTAAAATTTGGATACCCCTAAATCATCAATTTCAATAGTTTTTGTTCCATCATAAACCATCCATTTTTTCGGGATCCCACATTGCAGGAAACCATATGGATTATGAATATTCTGATCATCCCCAAGATCAAAAGTTTCCTAAAGGATAGTATAACCCCATTAATCCCATATATAATCAACCATACTCATATATGATGGTATAATTATATATATATATGTGGGACACAATGTGGGATCATTAATTATAGTTAGCAATGGGCTCCCCCGTCTTTCTCATCTAACCGCCCACATTATTATACAAGCAAATTCTATGGGGTTAATACCAAAGACAGGGGAGCAACACCTTATAGAAAACAATAACATAAATCAGAACAACAAACAACAAAAAGAAAAAACAAAACAACATAAGCAATACAATAGATTATAAAATAGACTATACCAAAAACCATAACAACAAACCAAAACAAAAGACAATTTCACTTTTATAAAATGAAATTTAACTATCATTCTTCTTCAAATTCTCCTCATGCTTCAAAGTGTTTGTGTGCCTCTTGTAATTTTGAGTTTGAATTTCATAATCATCACTTCAAATTTATGGGGATAACCAACATAATTTTCATAATAATTTATCATGAAGATTATGGGATTATTTACCACAGTCTCCCCCTAAGGGGAAGCCTCAGCCCCCAGCCAATATACTATCCCAACCCCCAGCATACATACCAGCACACATACAAACTAACATATCACAACAGCATCACATCTTTCTCAATCTCAAATCTCTTTCATTACCGCAATTAACCGCCCTTCATGAACTTGTTGATAACCATGTCTTCTTAACCTCAGCGCGATGTAAATGGCACAGCGATCCAAACTTTTGGGGCGAAATGGAGTGAAAAAGATTTGTGTGGTGTGCCTTGTTGGTGCCAGAATGTCAAGCTTTTGAAGGCTCACTGGCATCAATGCTCTATTGAAGCAATGTCCTATTCCTACTTAAGCCCTGAAACCTTGCTACCTACAGACCTTGTCAATCATAAAAGCATCAGCCAAGAGCCCTGTTTTGCAAAAGTCGCCCTGCTGGCGAAGCAAGCACGCGCTTTGTAAGTCGCCCTGTTGGCGAAGCAAGCACTGCTTTGTAAGTCGCCCTGTTGTTGGCGAAGCAAAGAACTGTTTTAGCGCGGCCCGCAGATCGAATGACAACGCTCAGGATGACGACGACTGCGCGACTCAGAGAAGAAGCTATTCAAAAGTTTGGTATCCAAAATAGTTGACACCGCATTCAAGACGCTCTCAGTCCTTGAAAACCAAACAAGGGTCAAATGCTAGAGAAAAAAGAAACCACAACCACAAGCATAGTAAAGCCCTCTAAACATGACAACAATAGCATGCATTCCAAGCACAACTCAGAAGAATAGATTGGCCGCACAGATAAGAAAGATAAGAAAATAATTAATAAATGAAAAACGAAAGAACTAATATATATATATATAATGAATGGTAAAATTGGGAAAAATAGGAAAAACAACCCAGATACTGTGCCAGATCGTTTGTTTCCTCATCTGGCACATGCCCAATTTCTGTCCCCAGCTGTTGCTGGAAGTCGGCGTAGTTGCGCATGTCCAAAATATGGCAATGCCACACAAGGTCCAGCTCTTCACTGGGAGAATAATTCCTAAGTTTTTGCACCCAAGCAAAGTTTCTGGCACCAAAAACCGACCTGAAAAACCAAGCCAAATAATGTAAAAAGACAAAACTGCCAGAAATGTATAGAAATGTCGAGTTTTTCATGGGGTGCGCCAAAATCACAGCGTACCAAATCTTCAGAGCCCGCTCTGCAAGCACCACATACTGCTCCTCTGAGATTGGGAGCCCTCCCATGCGCGCAGGTCTTTGTCGCACTGCGCACTTGGCATACTTGCTGAAATTCCATACTTGCAGCTTCTCAATCTGGACGTTCAGCGTGTTTTGGTCTGGCTCTGATTTCATAGTCACGATGTCCTTGCCGATGCGCTGTGCCATGACGGTGCAGCTCACGCACAATGCAAGGATGAGGCAAGCGAATACACCGGATTTGAGCGCCATGGCATTGCCGACACCCCTGAGCTAAAAAGCGTCCCTGAGTGGCTTGAGGAAAAACTCGCAAAAACGCTACGGAAGAACATAAAGATGCTGAAGAATGACACAAAATTCCAAGCGCAAACTGAAAGAGCTAATTTCTGTAGCTTTCCAATTGAGAATGTCAAAGATGCTCAAATTGAAACAAATTCCAAGGTCAAGCTCTCCAAGAACATGTGGCTTCAAACCTCCAACTGGCATATTCCCAACAGCTGAGCGCCGCGACAACAGGATGAAGAAGAGATTGATGACAAAGCCAAGGCGAGGAAGGGCAAAGGAACATAGAGCAATCCCAACCAATGACCCAAACGTGCCAAACACAAATTCATGGGGAAACAAATGAAGGGCAAAACACAAAACCCCGAAACCAAAACAGCACATCAAATCAACCATCTCATGGTTGCATCAAGTAGGCATGAGTAAGAACAAAATGAACTTACAAGGCTTTCTAAAAACACTAAATCTTTAAAAGTTCATGCCTCATCAACAATCTTGGGTAATCAGTTAATTTGTAATATTTTTGGTTCAACTTTTCTGCAATCTCTTGCACAACATAATAACCTTTCAGCCAGTGGGAAGTTCTTTCTTTCTCTGTAATTGCTTTCTTTCTCATTATCTTTACCTTATCACCGACAAATAATTCTGGATATATTTTTTCCTTCTTTGCCTTTGATGCTACATTCAGCATTGCCCTGAATTCATTTTTATCCTTCCTTGCTTGTTTAGGTGTCATACCTGTGGCGGAGTGTTTCATCTTATCATTGTATGTGAGCATAATTTCTAAATTGTAGTCTGTCCACTGTATATTCTGCTTTTCAGCTTTTTCATCAGCTTCAACTCTTTTGAAAAGCATATCCTTATACGTTTTTATGAAACGCTCAGCAAAAGCGGGATGACCTCTTGTTCTATACAACTCAATACCTTCACCTTCCACATAATTTTTAAAGTCTTCACCTGCTATGGCACGTTCATCATCAGTGTAAATTATTTTACTTTTCTTACCCATTTTCTTTAATGCCTCTTTAGTTGCCTCAAGGACATCCTCACCATTTTTTGTTTTAATTGGAACTACCACCGCAAACTTGCTTAAAACATCAATACACACTAACCCACCTCTATATTTTTGTTCTTCATCAAAATCATAATAACCCACAAAGAACAAATCTATCTGGAACGTGTGAAAATTATGTGGTGCTATGAAGGAATTATGACCTCTTGGCTTTGCTTTTATTTCTACATTCTTTTTAAAGAATTGTTCAACATCTGACATTTTTATTGTCGGTTCTTTCTCTCTGGCATCTTTTAAAGTAGTAGCCTTGCTTCCATAGCCACTTCTATCAAAATAAATATCACTAATAATCTTCTGCTTATTATCAGCCATTATATTTATAATGATATTTTATTTGAAAAAGCGCAATTACAAGACACACAATAACCTTTACAATTATCTTTAAAGTGAGCTTCACAACAATTAACTCTTTGACAGGTTATATTTGATGAAATCCTGCCATCTTCAAAATCTATCACCAACGGTTCATTACAATTCTCACACTGGGTATTCATCAGGTTCATCAAAAAATCTACATCAACATAATCATTTCCTTCTACATCTCTACCTGCTTTCTTGTCTTGCTCAATGTAATTTAAAACCTTTCTCTCAAAATACTGCTCTATTATCTTTTTAGATTTACTTTGCTCACCTTCATTATATTTGAAAAACTTGATTTTGCTAAAGTCTGTTGCCCTTGTGATACTGGTGAAAAACCAATTCTTACTAACATACCATTCATTCCAATCATATATCACTATATCACCATCAACACTACAGCCCTGCTTTGAATGAGCGGTGTAGCAGTAAGCATATATAAAATGCTTTCTCAATAATTTCAGTTCTATATTTCGCTTCTCACCAGTTGCCACATTTTGTAAAACAACAATATCGCCAACAATATTCACAATCCTAAATCTAAAATTGACATTAAATTTCTTCCCTTTAGTCTTCATATATTTTCGGCATATAACTTCCTCACCAATAACATATTCTTCAGTTATATTTTTCATTTCCCTGATTTTGCTTGAAACCATTTTACAGGTGTTGTTTGTATAAGCAATGTTATTCTCATACATTTCTATCTTGTCAGTCCATTTGAAATATGTATCAATGATTTCTCTAAAAGATGTGCCTTCAAAAATCAACCTTTTAACATCTCTTAACTTTTGCCTATCTTCTTCAGTCTTCAATCTCTTACATTCATAAAGCATAATATTATTTTTGAAAATTAAATTAATACAATGGTCAGCATATTTTTCAAAAGCAATTACATTACTTACTCTCTCTCTGGGTTTTTCAATTGCTTTGTATCACCAGTTGCTAATACAATCTTGTCAGGATTGTTTTTCTCAAAGTCCCATATTAGAGCCCACTTGCCTACATTATGAAAATATATCTCATCAAACACTATGACATCATAACCTGAATAATCAAACTTTTGTAGTCTCTCATCTCCAAATGAAATACCAAAAAACTTATTTATGGTAGTCCATTCACAACCGCATTGTTGCCCTAACTCATTGCTATGAACAACAAACAACACTTTGTAGTTTTTATTTTTCAAATGCTTACATATATAACTCTTGCCTGAACCTGCAAACTCTGCCCTTATCATCAACCTCTTACTATTCAAAATATGTTCATCTATGATTTCATCAGTGTTCCATTCATCCTTCACTTCTCCAGTTTCATTTTCATATTCAGTTAAATCACATAGAATACTGGGTTGCTTACAAAATGCCTTGCTGGGAAAATGGATTTTATCAGACCACCTCCATTCACCAATCTCACTACCAAACTTCAACACCTCCTTTGCCTTACCCAGATTACATTTGTCAATAACAAAGGCATCAGTTTTGACTGAATACACCATTACATTATCCCTCATAAGTGTTTCATAAGCCTCATTCATATCAAAATTATGATGTTGTAAAATCAGTTCTTTCACATATTTATATCCGTTCCTCAAAGTTTTTGTATCGGAAATGTTCAGCACATAGTGCTTACACTCATCCACTATTTTAGCACATTCTTTCTCATCACTTTCAGGTTCAATGACATTACCTTTATCATCAAATTCAAGCAAACAATCATCATCATTATCATTCACTTCACCATCCCATTTAGTTTCAGTAATAGTACTTATATCACCACCGTATTTTTCCTGATAGTAGAAGGCATAAACCATTTTTGAAAACACAATTGACTTTTTAGCAGTGTTAGTCTGTTTTTCCAATAAGCCAATGTTGATACAAGCAATCATTTTCTTTTTCAATTTATCTTTCTCCTCATCCTCATCCAGTTTTAATTCCCACAGTTCATTAATCAGTTTTTTGTAATTAACTTTGTATGTGTTAGATGGAATTTTGTAATAGATAATTTCAACATTTTCAGCATATTTTTTCAAAAACTTACCGTAAATCAAGTTATAAGTCCTATTGAAAAATAGGTTTCTCACTTTGCTTTTAACAAGATATAATGTCAAAGCATTCATCTTGTTAAAATCATTCTTTGAATAATCATACTTTTTCCAAATATCAAATTCCGAAAAGACAGGCACTTCAAACACATCCATTGTAGATTTAGTGTAGGCTTCCTCCTATCTAATTCAATGTGAGTATCCTTACCTTCAACGATGCTTTCAAAATACCCACTTGGTGCTATACTATGCGCCATTGAAAATATTTTTAAATCATCATTGTGATAATATGACTTGTGATTAGGATTGAACATACCCTTATTGAAATTAAAAAATGCCTCATTGACTTTATTGAACATATCAGCACTATTACTATCAATACAAGTATCCATAGCGCAGTCTATCAAACTCTGACTTCTTATATTTAAAATCAATTTATTAAATTTAACCTTGAGTGATGATACATTGCCACCTGCTCCCATTATGATTTTAGGCTCATACTTTGCCCTCTTGAACTCACAAAAAATTGTATTCAAACTTTTGCCACTCACTAAATTGACTTCATCCTCAGTATCTTCATTATCTTTGACTATACCCATTATGTCATCAATCCCATTGAAAAAATCATACTTAACTGGTTTCTCCTTGCTATTTAAACGAAAGTCAGTAGAAGCATTTAGTTTCATATTTTCCTGTAATTCTTTTTGCGCTATGCTGTTGATGTTGTCATTCATTGTGTATATATGGTTGTCCTTAATCAATCCAAACAAAACAGTGATATTTTTGTTTTTCTTATCAGGGTCATAGGTATAAATCTTTTGACCGATACAGTTGTATAATCTGACTGTCAGTTTAAATTCTTCAAAAACCGGTTTCATATCTTCAACTGATGCCCCATTCTCTCTGAACTCTTCTTCATTCAAATTCATTAGTTTCAAAACCTTATCTCTTGTCATTCTTTTGCTCTCCCACTTTTTAGTATTCATCAGTGTCTCTTCATAGTGGTCTATCAGTGTGTTAATCCAGCATTCCCCATCACTGTGGTTCTTATTCTTGATGGCATCAACTAAATTATCACTTGCAACATCCATTTCGGTATTGATGCTGTAGTGATACATTCCTATCTCATTGCCATTCTTCAGCTTCTTTTTTGTTTCATCATCCCCACCTCCTGTGTTTGATACATCAGTAATGTCTAAAATCTTGATGGCACTTGTGTAGTCTTCAAGGTTTGTATTATTCTTCAGGTCTGGGTGTTTTTCAACTAATCTCTTGAATAACTTATCAAACAAAACTGTATCGTGTATCACTTCAAACTCTTTGTATCTACCTTTGGTGTTTCTTCTTCTGGGCAGTGTAGCATCTATTCCTGTTTCCTTTATCCAAGCCTCTCTGGTCTTCAGTTCATCAAATTGTTTTCTTGTAATTTTGTTGGGTTGCCCTTCTTCAGTCTTAACCTATCTTTCAGTCTTTCCATCCATATCAAACTTGTCTCTG